ACACACACACACACACATAAACAATTATACAAATTAATGAGGCTGTGATGAGTCAATTCAAAGTAATCGATGGTTTGGTTTTGGAATGTTTTACGAATTTGGGATACGTTTTGATCATTTGGCTTGGCAGCAAACGAAATTGTATTCCCTAATTCTTATTAGGGGGCATTTGGTTTGTGGGATTCGGTTGAGTTGCTGCCATGGTTGAGGTTTTCCCACTTCGAGAATGTGCCGCCAAATTGTTCGATGAAATGCAGATCTGAGTCTCCCTATAACCCACCCACCAAATAAACCTTGAAGATGGTATGTAGTTTTAATTTTTCTTTTTTTTTGTTGGTTTATTATGTCATTTATGTGTATGAAATTGTGCTGAAAATGCATGAAAGTATTATTGCAGTATTAGGGGGCGTTTGGTTTGTGGGATTCGGTTGAGTTGTCTCCATGGTTGAGGTTTTCCCACTTCAAGAATGTGCCGCCAAATTGTTCGATGAAATGCAGATCTGAGTCTCCCTATAACCCACCCACCAAATAAACCTTGAAGATGTTATGGAGTTTTGATTTTTTTTTTTTTTTTTTTGTTGGTTTATTATGTCATTTATGTGTATGAAATTGTGCTGAAAATGCATGAAAGTATTATTTGCATGTAATTTTTTAAGATGGTTGATGTTAGGTTCTTTAACTTTTGTGCTCTTCTTGCATGGAGTTGTTCACAGTATTTTATTTATTGCAAGGTATAAGATTTATTGTATAAAATAGATGTAGAGTTTATCAGTATTCTTATAATCCATCAATCTTGCTTTTGTTGTGAAGTATGAGATAAATTTAAGTTCTATGTTGTTGACCGTTGTTATTTATTCTCTAATGTGTCTGGATAAAGTCATACTGATGCATGTTACATAGTTGACTAATCAAAGGGAAGGCTGCTGGTGTTTTATAGGGAGGGTTGTTTGCTGAGTCTAGAATTATGTAGTTTCAACTATAAACATGGCCCTGGTCTTGGTGCATTCGTTTAATGGTGTTTAAATGAGAAGACCACCGGTACTGTTCCTTATGAACAGTAGGACAGTGTCCTTCTGGAATTACCCTCGGTTTTGTCCTTTTTCTCCTTTTCTTCTGTCCTTCTTTTCTCTCTCTTCTTCTTTACTCATTCTGTCCTTCTTGTAACCTCTCCCCTACCTTTCACTTCATCTTCTTCCTTCGTTCTCTCTCTTCTCTACCATTAATTATTTTTTCAAAGAATTCTTTGTTCTTATTAATGTGAGTTATTAGCTTTAATTCGAAGCAAGAAACTGTAAAAATGGTGGGTTTTTTCTCTAAGTTTTCTAGCAGCAAATCTGGGCACCGAAGAACGCAAAGCGCAATTGTGAGTTAAATTAGTTTTCTGGGGTTGCATGATTTTGTAAAATTAGGAACTTTTTTTGTTTAATTTGATTGTGAATTTTGTATGAATACTTTGTGTGGTAAGTAACCTAATATGATTTGAATAGGTGAACTGTCTATCTTACTGTTGTGTTTAGATGATTTTGTTCTTTGTTTTTACTGTTTTGTTTGACTATTTAAAGTTGATTTTGTGGGATTTTCTTATTGTGGTTGATTTGGTCAGATTTTGTATGTTTCCTTTTTGATCTGACTTTCTTATTGGCTTCCTTAGATCTAGGCGTGAATTGGGTAGTTGAGAATTTTTGATTTTGGGCAATATTCATCCTTTTTTTACCTGGGTTTTTATAAGGTTCATTGTTGACATAATTGGTCAGTTTGCTTGGTTTCTGTGGTCTTGAGTTTTCGGGAGAAATATAACCAGGTTTAGTCATGTATCTTATTGTCCTTTAAGATCATTGAGTCATATAGTATCCGAAATTGTGTCCAAAATCTTTATTGGGTTGTCTTTAATCATGTCTAGAACCTGCTTTTGGTGTGTTTTTGCCAAGGATTGGTGTGCTTCATTGTTATTGGTATTGCTCTTCAAGTTCATGCTGCTTGTAGTTAATTGTCGTAAGTTCGATGCCTGCTGATTGCTGATTGTGATTTTATTTTCGCGTTTTCTTATGTGAATGGACACAGGATGCAAGGGAGGTCTCAGCCCCGATTCCAGAGGACACGGTGGCCGAGGTTGCACAGCCTCTTGCTCATGGTATAGATGTAGGTGTAGAATTTAAACCTGTTGAACATCCAGTTGAGCCTCTTGACAATGATAAACCCGTCCAGTGCCCATTGCCAGAACCTTCTATTCTAAATGTAAGTTTTTACTCATATCTGATGATCCCCATATTTTCATACTTCTTTGCTTGTAGAGTCTTACAATATCCCTTGTCTTAATTGGCTTCTGTACTAGATTATTGGATTTCATTGCTTGGTGCTTGTAGGATAGTCCTTTTGATTGTCACTCATGTGTCCAACTTATTTGTTAGGAAATTAAAATTGGTACGATACTATTAGCTGCTTTGGATTATAGGTGTGAGAAAGTAATAGGTGATGGACAATTACATTAAGATAGAATCGTCTCATATTCGTACTAGGGAGGGAAAAGAGAATGTTCTCTTTGGTCTCTGCCTTTGAAATATATGGCAGGGAGGTCCTTCAAGTCTCAACTTCCAAGCAAGCATGTTGAAATTAACTTCTTTCAGATGCATTGTTTGAGTATCGCTACAATAAAATGCATCTAGGTCATTAATATAAAAAAATAGGTGTATTATTAGCGGTAGTTTGCATCTTGAGTAGTTAGATTACTATTCTTAAACAGGGGAATGTGGATGATCGCCTGAAAAATAACCTTTTCCGTCGGATGAAAGCCTATGTAGTATGTAGGATGCTGTATATCAAAAACTAATGGCAGCATATTGAGTGTTTCTATGGTAAACTGAATGTTAAAATGTCCATGTTAGTACCTTAGAAATCAAAGGCAGTTCAGTGTAGTAGATTTTCTCAGTGAATATCGACCATTTTAAGTCCTATCACCTTTGGTACTAGCTTACCAGTTGTTTATATACTTTATACCCGTGGTTGTTGTTCTAAAAATTGTTGCTCGAGCTTAGAAATGTATGCCTTCTTTATGGTGGCAGTGTGACTCTTCTTCTAACAGTATCAAGCTATATGCCTGCATTTTCTTAGTAACTTTTGGTTGAAGTAAACTGCTACTGTGAATTGGGCATTGCCTTCAATCTGAAGTTGAGCTATTATGTTAGCTGTATTCACTTGCTAGAAAAAATAGATTTGCCAACTCTACTCTCAGGTTCCCTACTTATTCGTCTTAACTTTAACAAGCTGTGTGAGCATCACACCATTTCTCCATATAATAATTCAATAAATTTCTTATATGAGCTAACTGTGATGAAATCACAGATAACAGCTGCTCAGTCATAATTAGTTATGAGCGATCAAATTCTTGAGCATAGTTTTTTATGTAGAGGGATGGTTTTATATTTTAATCATTGTCTTAATCTTTGTCAAGATTCAAAAGCCCGCTATCGGAATAGTATCAACTGCTGAACAGTTGAGGTAAAGGATGAAAGCATCTTGCTCTTCAGCAAGAGTTCAGGACTGCATAAAAAAGCTTATATGAGGTGATTTAGTGTAGATTTGTTTAATTTTTTGGGTTGAGCTAATATTAAGTGTGAATCTTTTGAAATTTTGGTTTGAGCTTCATAATTTGAGTTTTGAATTTCGATGTTATTGATGTTGGTTTTTACTGATTTCGATTGTGTTAAGGTCTCTGTTCATTTTTCATTCTGAAATTTTTGTTTGAGCTTACTAGCTTAGCAAACCTACAAAAATGGCGATTGCTACTGGTTCATCTTCATTGTTGAAGACTCTTCTTAATCCTAAGAAGAATGTCTTGGCTGCTATGCACAAGAGTTCCGTTGACCATCGTCTTCGCAAATATGGTTTGGTTCCTCTTTCTCTCTCCTCTTTTGTGATTGATTTTGACCTAATTTTTGTGATTGATTTTTATATCAATTATGTCTTTTTTGATGGAGTGAATTTAGGTAATTTTGTTTTGCTTTTGAATCTTGGTGTCCTGTTGGTTTAATTATTTTTTGCATGTGATGTTAGGTGAGATTTATTGGTTTCGTTTGCTGCTTGAATTCGTTAAGTGAGCTTGATTGGGTTCGTAAAGTGTATTTTTGGGCTTAACATGTTTTATTTAGTTGGTGGATGTTCTGTCTGTATTAAACCGTGTTATGCTTAAATCTTGCAACTTTATTCTCACTACTTGCATGTTTAAGAAACGCTAGGCAAGTTTAATTAAGTATACCTGCCAAGAAAATTCATTTTGTTTTGGGGTTTTGCAGCTTTTACTTGTACTGTTATTGTTTTTGTTATTGTTCAGGTATGATATTTGATTTGCATTTGTTTATTGTGGTATTTATAATCATAAGAGAGTGGTGTATCGTAATATTCCGGTTTTTATTTTTTGAATGGAGAAAATCCATGTAATAGATCATAAATTTAACTGATGGAATAGATCTAAAACTCTAAATCTAAATTCATACCTAAATATAAATAGATTACCATTAAATGCGATTATCAAATATGTATAGATTAATAACTAGGCTATTTTGCTTTGGGTGGAACCTGGTGGTGCATGGGCCACGTAGTAGATTATAAATGGTTATTGCAGCTCGTAGGCCAAGACCTCTATTGCTTTCATGAGTGTGGCTTGTAAGTTTAGGTTGCGATGTTTGTTATTACTCATCAATAGATTGTTAGTTTACAATATGACACACATTTTCTCATTGAAGACTGCAAATGCACACTTCGGCTAACAAGCGTAGATTGTGATTGTTTTGTTGCACGCCATCTTTTGAGTCTGGTCTGCAATTGTTTTTGTTATCTGAAGCAACGTAGCTCTTTTACAGTGACAAGTTATTGTTATTCTATGGTTAAGGCTTATTGTTGTTCTTTTGCAATTTAAGTGCATTGGATAAACTGTCACTTTGGTTGGTACTCAATTGGCTGTTTGGGCATTTCGGTTACTACATTACAGTTGGTAAGTTGACAATTCTGCTAAATTGTGATCTGAAATGATGTAGTTTGTGCTGTGGTTTCTTTTTTTGGGGTTTAGCTTAGTGGGGTGTGTATAAGCTGTTGGAATCAAGAAGAGGGTAATAGACATATTAGTGGATTAGCTGGCTTTAATTTGCATTATTTCTCCTTCTATTGCTTCTACTCAATAGTCAAATTAACATGAATTCCCTGTCTGATGACTGTAGCAATGAAGTAGCTGTTACCAGCATTTGCATTTCTATCAACTGCAGTATCAAGACACAGTTTGGAAGAAACCTACATGTACTGAGATAGCTTATTACAATGAGATACTGGCATTCAGTTTTGGGTATTGTGGTTTAGAGATATTTCCTTGCACCTCTGACTTCGTTGTATTACGCACTTATCATCATGGCATTTGACTATTGGTTGATTTTCGTTCTTATCAACAAAATATCCCCTTCTGTGTGCTTAATTTTTGTTGTCTTTAATTCCATAAGATGTTGTGTAGAAATGCCTGTTTCAGGGTTGCCAGTTGCCACATTCTGCTAATCTATGAGCTAATTTAATTTGGTGTCCTATAGTACAAATAATGGATCACCAGTATACCACAGTTAATATGAAGATAAGTTCAGCGACTTTAATAGTTAAAAGGTCATCTCATTAGTTTCTTAAGAAAGAAGAGAGATACAAGGTCAATTTTTATTAAGTAATATCAGTCTCCCTTAGGCCTTTAACAACCCGACAACAATTATATGTTTAATCAAGCATTCCATGAGAATTGGAAGGACTCTTAAAGGAGAGAGACCTTAGTAAAGTAAGAAATGGTATTGTAATTAAAATTGGTTTTTAAGAGTGAAAATTTTCATGGGTTAATAAGTTTGTAGTGCTTTTATTTAATTTTTGTATGGGTAAGTAATATTAAATTATTAATTTTATTATTAGTTATTATTATGTGGTCTGTGCATGGAACATTATGCAATGCCAGCAAGGAATCTTAGGTTAAAAAAGATGAAATTAGGATATAATTAAGAATTAATTAGTGCATTATCCAAGGAAGACTTCATCAATTTTGTATAATTGGGGATAATGAAATCAACATCAGCATGGGTTCATCATGAGCATGTATGTCATCTATTTGTTACATAAGGGGTTCCATGTAATTCAACTAGTTTAGTCCTTAAGTATGGTTGATTAGCTTGATTAACTATGGTTAATTAGTTCACGAACACAAGTCAATACTAAAATTAAGACAATGATTAAAATATAAAACCATCCCAACCATGAGTTTACTATGAAAACTAAATATACTAACAGTCATTCGTGATATAATTACGCTATATCACGAATGACTGTTAGTATATTACGCTATATCACGAATGACTGTTAGTATAAGTTCTTATCACGAATGACTGTTCAGATACGTGTGTTGGATATTACTCCTTTGCTGCTGCAGATTGAACTTGAACAATACCCAACTGGCCCTCGTATTGCTTCTTGGATGTTATACAGTGTATGTAATAATCCCATTACTTTCTTTATTAGTATAACATCATTTTGTTGTTGATATCATTTAAAAGTTGTAATCTTTTCGAAGTTTGATCGATTTACTGGACCGATAATTGATAGGTATTTTTGTTTCTTGAATTGGGTAGGCAGAGAATTCATTTGGAGATGTTAGTGATAAGGTGGTGGCTGATTTTGGTTGTGGGTGTGGCACATTAGGAATTGCTGCTGCTCTTTTGGGTGCAGAGTTAGTTTTTCTAGCATTTCTGTGAGCATGAGTGCTTGATTTGATGTTTAATGTACTTTGTCCGAAAATCGAGCTTTTATCAAATGATTGAATGTGTGAAGTACATCAGTCATGATTGTTTGTTTGTTGTCTTCTTTTTTCTTGGGCTGAAGTTGATTGCTATCAATAGTCATGTTATAGGTTCCGATGTGCACCATCTAATTTGCGCTCTAGCATGGTTTTTTTTTTTTTTTTTTTTTTTTTTTTTTTTATATATAAATTTTCTTGTTAGACCTTCCTTGCAAGCGGAATAGAAGTATAAAGTGTTCGCAGTTGTTAATTTTGTCCTTCCATGTGCTTGAATAGCAAGTGTCTAATACATTTATGTCTTCTGCTTCCTTTACAGAGTGATGCAGATTACTGGTTACTGTCGGATGGTGATGTCAGCATTACTGATATGTGGAGAACAGACTATCCTTTCACTTTTTTTTACTTACGTTTCATTTTGTTGTATAAAAAATAGTTTTGTCAAGTTTCTGAAGAAAGAAACATGAACTTTGATTCCCTAACTCAGTGATAGCTGGAGTTGAATGGAATGAATTAGGGACCATCCACGAAGACTATGCTGTGGCCAATGTTGGCACACCACAACCACAAAGCCCACCTCCAAGTGCTACAGAAGTTCTACCTAATAACATGATGGGGAGGTGATTAACATAAAGTTCTGAGGGATTTGCCAATGTTGTCCATCTTGATTGCTTATGCTAGAACTGAACTGAGCTTCCTTATTTCTCTGGTTCAGCCTGAGAATTGGGCATAAAATGGCTTCAAAGGATGCTGCTAGATCATGTGCAATACTGTTCTGGTGAAGGTATTACATATTATATATGAATATGTGTTGTGGCCTTTCGATGCCATTTTATTGAAATTTTGAGGTATAAGGAACTAGATGGGCATTACTTATACTCCGTATCAATTACGAAATATCAAATAACCCCTGACAAACTGTGATTATAATTTGAAGAGTGGTTGACTATCTAAGGGTGTTCGTGGAGCTTGATGGATTTATGTGTTTTACATTTGGAATCCCACTTACTTGGCTAGACTGAGTTAAGCTAATTAGAGGTCTTTCTTCTCAGTATATCAAAATTGATCTTCACATTTAGTTGATTGTGTGCTTGATGGATTTATGTGTTATTATTATTATTAGATTAGATTTATTTATTTATTATTACTGGCTTTCTTTGTTGCTATATCCTGTTGTAAGAGTCGTTACTTTCTTATCGATGGGCATACTGAAAATGCTGGGATTAAAAGGAAGAAGGTTTGTTGCAAGATTGTACTTTTTTTATAAGATTTTTTCATATGCTGTTTCAGTTTTGTTTGCTACCATTTTAGCAAGGACTTATAGATTTATAGCGGCGATTGTATCCCAACTTTTAGTATAAAATACTCTTAAATTAAGTACTGTTAAGATTAATTATGTTAAGTTGCATTCAGTTTTTTCGTAATAATAGTACAGAATAATGTAAACGACATTTTATGAGTTTATTTTGAGGTAAATAATGGTCAGAGTCTAAGTAAAGGGGTGATGCATGTTTTGGATGGGAGAGACAAAGTATGAAATGTAAGACCCTTAATTATGAATACGTTGGGAAGGGAGCGAGCATGACTTTGTGATGGTAGTGTGTAGATCAATAGGGTAATTGGTGCTAGATTTTATATAGTATGGGTAAGAAAACGAAGAATGAATCAGATTTGGTAAAATTAATGGAAGTTCCTTGCAAATAGATTCATTTTTTATAGTGAAATAAATCACTGTTGAATTGTTGAGTTATGGGGTTTGATTCCAATTATCAAATGTTGATTTCACAATTTAGGGTTCTTCATTAATTTATTTGTCCGTTTAGTTAATTCCAATTATCAAATGTTGATTGACCATCCTCATACATGAAATTCGCCATTGTAAGTGAAATGTTTGGCAAACAACTCATTATTAGTTTTTAGGCGTGCTAAAACCCATTTGAAATCTACACTATTACAATAATGTATAAGGAAAAGATCTAATGTATGAGGATATTATTATTATTATTTTTCTCTTTAGCATTTAGTATACCATTAACACTATTACAATAATTTATGAGGATTACTAAACAACATTATTGTACAAAAGTATAATTAAAGATATTAATAGCTAAAATAAAGCATTGGAAATCACAAATGATATAATAAAAAAGAACATATAGGAAGTGTATATATATTCCACGTATGAGAAGTTGACTGTAAATAAATCTATGGTTAAGTAGATATGTTTTAATCATTTAATTTAATTATTGTTTTAAAAGGTTATTATTAGTTGCTTATTTCAATTTCAAAAATAATTCTGGATGTTTGTATTTAAGTGTTATGTTGTTATTTAATGTAAGCACTTTCAATTTCAAGAAAATTTATTAAGAATACATTCATGACAATTGATACTCATATATCCCTATTTACGAAGGCCATGGGGTTGCTGAACAGCAACTTGAAAAACAAGCCCCTCAAGCATTCAGCTACACATACACCTCCACCTGTCAAAACTCCAAAGATTTCACCTACAGAGTGGATACAGCTCTGTCGCACTCGCATAAATGCAAACAAGCAATCTCCAGTGACTCCAACACGAAGTGGAGACACACAAAGTAACTTGGATTGTGTACAAAGTCCAGCTCGAAAAAAACTCCGTTTCACAGCATCACCATCTGCCCCAGCTAATTTAACATCTGCTTCTGAAAAATCAGTTACACCAGAAAATGATGTTAACACATCTGTACTTGTGAATGATCATATGACACAGGCCTCACTTAACTCTCTTACTCAAGATAATTAGCAAAAAAAAAGAACAACAATGCACATACATAAGAGAAGTAGGTATTATAAATAACTTCAAAGTTGTGGTACTGTCACCACCTCTGTTACAAATTTTGAGCTTCCGTGATAATTACATCAGTGACTTATATTAAACAGCAGAGTAACTACAGCAGTAGCTGTTTTGATGTATATTTCTTTAAAAACCTATATTTTTTTGGTGTACTACTCCAACATTGCATTAAAATACCTTTAGATGAAAATAGAGTATCTAATGTAAATAGGAATGCAATGCAGTTAAGTTAAAACTTTTGAAGAGTTTTCTAAGAACATGTACAATAGTTAATGTTCTTAGAAAACACTATAAAAAGGTCGAATGTTGTTAAAAAAAAAAAACACTGATGTAATGTTTATGTACAGATTAGCATGTCTAAAATATTTTAATTACGGTAATTTAGAATTGTTCCATTTTTTACTGGCTTAATTAAAATCTTCCCTTTTAAAATTTTTTAAAAACTACAAATCTGTTTATAATGAATATATAAATTGGCAATGCAGAACAATATCAGATTGATGCATATAAGGGAGAGATAGGAAGTTCTAGGGGCCAAGGGAAATAGAAAGCAAGTGCAACGTACTATTCAAAGTTTTTTAGAGGATGAAATAGAGACCAAAACGATTAGGAAAAACAAGAGAATAAGAAAAAGAGTTTGAGCCAATAAAGGAAAGAATAAGTAAGAAAGGAGCAATTGCAACTTATCATCTTCAAAACCAAGAATAGCCTATTAGTCAAATAAATAATCCATATGATCCTTTAAAATTAGAGTTTGGATGATGCAATCAAATTTAGTATTCCCTAATCTGCTCCATTTGTTTAATAAACTTCATTCAAAGACTTTGGTTAACGTTCTAAAAAATGAATGCAAATATACATTATGATTTCAATGTACTTATTTCGAAACAACTTCAAATATATTAGTAGAATTATGTATTTCTTAAATTTTACAGATTTTTTTTCACCATAAGGTCATTGTTTTTCAATTAAGCTTATTTCTTTACCATATTTATTAGTAATGTTTTACAACAATGGCCTTATGTAAATATCCAATTCTGTGCTATAAAACATTACTAAGAAATAAAGTGATATCCAAGATTGATATTTACACTGTTTTCTTAATTTTTAGTCATTTCATATTTTTAGTCAATTAGAAACGCTTACTAAAATAATGATCTTACTTTTCAATCAAATTAGAAAAGACAACTTCAAAACCTTGTGCTGTTATTTTTTCATTCAGCTTCATCGGTAGTTTACAGTGGTCTATTATTACTTATTCAGCTCTATTATGAAACCTTTAAATCTATGAATACCCCTAAACCTCTGAAGAAGAATTTCAAGATCAACTAATGAAAAGTACAAAAAGTATTTTTCTTACCTTTTTTGTTTATGACAAAAGTACTTTCGTACTTACCTTTTTTAATGAAATTATTTTACATCTATCCCACTTTGAATGCAACAAACTTCTCTTAGATTACATTTAACACTAAAAATTTTAACAACATGCACAAAATACGCAAACATAATTACAGTGTAACAGAAACACCGAATACAATAATCACCAATAATAATCGCCGTCATTGAGGTGCCGCGCGCGAAAATAAAATATCTAATGTTATTTATGAAAATAGTACTACCTCCGCCCGAGGTTATCTGCAACAAAGGACAGAAGTTCGGACTCCTAGGCAAAACTTCTTAAACAAGGTTATTGAAAAGTAAGAGGAGAGAGAAGGGATAATTAAACTAAACTAAAATAAAACACACAATTAATGAATGGAGAACAACTACCCCAAAACTACCACACCACCCCACAAACCACCAACACCCAACCCACTAACCACCGCACCACCCCATGAACCACCCAAACCACCGAAACCACCACCAAAACCCACGAACCACCGCACCACCCCACAAACCAAACCCACGAACCCCTCCCAAACCACCACCAAAACCCACCTCCCCCAAACCAAACCCACGAAACCCCCCAAAACACCACCAAAAACCCGCCACCCCACAAACCAAACCCACGAAACCCCCCAAACCACCACCAAAACCCACCACCCGACAAACCAAACCCACGAAAACCCCCCAAACCACCACCCCACAAAACCAAACCCACGAAACCCACCCGAAACCCCCCAAACCACCACCAAATTGCAGACGACATGAATTGCGGACGAATTGTGGTGGAATTGCGGACGAATTGTGGACGGATTGCGGTGGTGCCGGGGCGAAGGTGGCTGGGGTAAGGTGGTGGAGAATTGTGCGACGAATGACGGTGGTGCTGGTGCTCTGGGCTCGTCTGGGCCGGTGGTAGGGGCGGCGAAGGTGGATGGGGTAAGGTGGTGGATTACTTGGTTAGTCAATGTAATTAACAAATTGTAAACAAAGTTAAAAATTTTAAGTAAGGGTAAAGTTGACATTTTATTGCTAAAAATTTACCAAAAGAGGAAATAAAAAAAATTGTTGCAGATAATAGAGAGCACCTATTTTTAGTAAATGTTGCAGATAATTGCGGGCGGAGGTAATAATTCAAAAAACTTCTTTTTAACAACATAATTTAAATTACATCTATCTCATATACTAACTTTAAATACAACAATCTTCTCCTCTTAGATTACATTTAACAATTTAAATTTTAACGATATGCACAAAATACGCAAACAATATTATCATGTAACAGAAACACCGAATAAAGTAATTACTAATAATAATCACCGCCATTGTGGTGGCGCGCGCGACGCCACAACTAGTAACTCTTTAAATATCATTAGACCACCCGGCACTGTTCCTTATGAACAGTAGGACAGTGCGCGGACGGTACTACCCTTCGTCTGGGGTTTGTTTCACAGTTTTGCCACCGCCATTCTTGCTGTTCTTGCTTTCCCTTTTTCCCTCACCATCACTCATTTGCTTCACTCTCTTTCTCTCTCTTCTTCTATTTTGGTTTTTACTGTTGATTCTCTCTCTGTACTTGCTTCTTCTTTCAATTTGGTTTTCTTCTCTTTGTTCGCCATTGAAGCTTTCAATTTGGTTTTCTTCTCTTTGTTCGCCATTGAAGCTTATATTAGGTGATTTAGTGTGTTTTTTTCTTTCTCTTCGTTTATTTTGAATTTTAATTTTGGGTTTTTTTTTTTCGTAATTGCTTGCCTTTTCTTTTAATTTTGGTATTCTTCTTTTTGTTCGTCATTGAAGTTTAGATGAGGCGATTTAGTGTATATATATATATTTGTTTACTTATTATTTGAGTTTTGAATTTTACTGGTTTCAATTCTTTTTCTTTGATAATGCAAAATTAGCTTAAAACATCCCCCACCCGCGAAATCCCCTTTTCCTTCCCGATCCAAGCCCGGAAATGATTAACGAGTGTGTTTAAATCATTTGAATTTTACTGATTTGGGTTTATATTTTACTGGTTTCACTCATATGAATACATGCATCTCCTAATCCACTATCATTAATATGTACAGTTACCCCTGATTACTCTTTGAATTTAACTGATTCCGATTGTTTCTTTCAGGGTTATTTTGCGGTATTCCTGGAGAAATTCACTCGGGTTTGAAGGTGTCAGTGAGTTGGGTGTATCTGTTGTGAAGGTACTAATTCTGAATTCATAATTGATTAACTCTATTCAAGTTCAAATTAAATCAAATCAAATCAATTTTAGGTTTTCTTTTTACATTTGGTTGAGGTAATTTAGATTAAAAAGTGTAATATCATATAAGAACATGCAATTGATGTTGGAGGTCTGACAGGGGAGGATGAGGTTTAACAATGGCGATAATTAGATTTTTTGGCTGCTGTTTGCAGTTTTGCATGCTTGAGATTTGTGCCGAAATGAGGAAATATAAGATTGTTGCAACTGAGGTTTATGACTAATAAAATTCAATTAGATTATTTCGTTAGATGAAGTAAAACAGAAATTTTACACCTACTATAATTTCCAGAATTTTGCATATTAATTTAAATTATGTGTGAAAAATTAATCTCTGTTTTAATATGTGATAATTCAGTTTTTACACCTATTATAATTTCCAGAATTTTGCATGTGGGAGAAGTTCAGGGAATTCCACTTCTGGAGCTGATTCTACCGAATCTAAGGAAAAAGGGAGAGGTAAATAATCAGTTCTTTACTCATTGATGTTATGCAGTAAACTGATTTAAGGGGAACTAGGGGAGGGGCTCTTTTGGCAGTATCTTTATATGTTAGTTATGAGTAGCTTGGGATTTGGAAATTAATTAGATATAATTAGGGAATAAATTCTATGTATAGAGAAGATTATGGAGAGGGAAAGGATGTCAATCTTGATGATAGTTTTTTTTAGCATTTATGTTGCTTATTGGTTGAGAATGGAGCCTTTTGATAGCTTGAATATCCTTCATTTTGCTGCAATTACAGATTATTAATCAAATTGCCTTTTTTTATTTACCTTTTTTTTGCCGTTTTTGATGTTGAAACTATTTAATTTATACCATGTTGTACACGTGTAGCTATTTTATATGAATCTCTGTTTAGTAAACTGCCTTGTGGCTCTGAGTTATATTTTTAACGGTCTTGCCATTGTATTCTAATTTTCATTGCTTTTCAGCTTTTTTGTCCTTCTTCCCTTTTTCTTTTTCCCTAAAATCAGATGCTATTACATAGTCTATACTTCTTCTTTTCTCTCTCTTCGTACTTGCTTCTTCTTTAACATGCAATTGGGTTATGTATATTAGTCTATTAGTTTTCGGAGGAGTTGTAGTTGATTTGATTAATATTACATATATAAGAGCATGCAATAGATGTTGAAGGTAATTTGGTTTTCTTTTCTTTGTTCGCCATTGAAGCTTATATGAGGTGATTTAGCTTTTATTTTCCTTTTTGTTCGTCTATTTTGAACTTTAGTTTTGGGATTTTCTTTTCGTACTTGCTTAGCTTGCTTCTTCTTTTATTTTGGTATTCTTCTTTTTGTTCGCTAATAAAGCTTCCATGAGGTGATTTAGTGTATATATTTGTTTAATTATTTGGGTTTACTATTTGTGTTTTGAATTTTACTGATTCCGATTCTGTTTCTTTGAATTTTATTGATTATGATTGTTTCTTCAGGGTTATTTTTGGGTACTTGTCATTACATAAAACAAAAAAAAATATTATAATAAAGAAATGGAAAAAAGGACAGGATTCACATTTATATTTTTGAAGAATATTTACATTCTATTTGTTTAGTTTCATTCACCATTTAGTGGGCATAGATTATAGACTATAGCTTGGCTGGACAGTAATATTTTTTCCTGTACTTTATAACCAATCTACAATTTGTATGTCTAGACACGGTACGAGTAGTATTTATTAAGTAAAATTTGTTTATACTTGAGTAATGGAATAGTAAAGCTGTTGATTACATTTTATTTTATAATTTATACTTCTACTGGCATATTTATGCTGCTGTTTTGTTTATGTCTTTACTCATTTCCTCCCATTCTCTTTTCAATGTCTTTTGAAAAGAAATCTTTTTGATACTCCCCTCTTTAGGCTAGAATATATACAAACAATATATACAAAGTATTGATTACTAAAACTATAAAGTTATGAAAATGTTCTGATATAACCACAACTGGAAAATGTTTAAGAAAAAGAAAATTAGAATAACACAGAAAGACCAACATCGGAACCACGATCCTTTTTGAATTAACATTTTTGTTTGTAATCTTTTCGGTTTTTTTTGGGTTGAATTTGCGATTTCATTGTAATGTTTGGTTTTTGATGTGATTATTTATGTGTTTTTCGTTTTTTTTTTTTTTGTTTTGCTAATGGAGTTATGGTATAACAGACTGCTATCGACAGAATGAGGTTATTGTGTGATTGTATTTTTTGTTGTTTTGATGAGGTTATTGTGTGATTCTTTGTCTGAATTTTGATTTTATTTTCTACTCAGCTTAATTGTTTGCTGAAAAGGTCATTGTATCCACCAAGCACAATGATGACGAGCAGTTCGTTTGGGAGTCTCAAGCTGGTGGTTCCTTCACTGCCACAAGGGACACTACTGGTGAACAACTTGGAAGGGGTACTAAGATCACCCTTTTCCTCAAGGAAAATCAGGTATATTTTTGCCCTCGAAAATAGCCTGCACTTTGCTTATCTACAGTGTTTGGACTGTTTTGCCCTAAAAGAAGTCCAAATTTCCGCCCTCTCACCACAACCACAAATTCATCTCCTCTAATTTCAGTGTTGATAGATTGAGAAGCAAACCAACTACAGCCACAACTTCATCTCCCTCCTCCTCTTCTCCTGAGCTCTCCATGTTTTGCTCTTACTCCTGTGTTGAAGCCCGCTGTTGAGGTAAGGGTTTTTTTTTTCCCTTTAAATTGTCCAATACGAATTTCACATTTGGGAGTTTAATTTCATATTATTGTCTATTTAACTGTTGAGGTACCATTTCCCCTTTCCTCTTTCATTTTTTTGTTTGTTTTTACTGGATTTACTCTGAATTTATATATTTCAGGTTTTTAATTTATGTAATTGAAATCTGGGTTTGAAATTTTGTAGGGAAATATAGAAAGGAGAAATTCTCAACATTATTCGCCCTTCGCACTGAAGTGACTTATGGGATTCTACTCCTTCATGAGGTAAGATTTTCTTTCTTCTTATTAATCACCCCGTATCAATTTCACAATCTAAGGTTTATCGAAACTTAATTGTACTCAATTTAGGGTTATTCTAAGGAACATTATGAAACTATCGATTTAGGGTTATTCTAAGTTAGATTATGAAACTATTGATTTAGGGTTATTCTAAGTTAGATTATGAAACTATTCATTATAAATCTTATAATCATTGAAGTAATGAAATATTATAACGAGCAAATTTTTTTTTATAGATGATAGGTCATTTTTATATGAAAAACTTCTTATTAGATCTTTCAATAAACATTATCGACCTTATATGGTACAAAGTAGAAATACCATACATTAACGTACTTAATGTTTATTACCTCTAAGCTTCAAAACGGCATCCTTGATAATTGTTATTCTTTTTTTGTTTGGTATTTGCAGATACCAATTGCACCTTTTTGAGTACTAAGATGGCTAGAAGTTAATTCAAATTCAAGCACCCTTGTGGTTCGTACAATTTCTTTTTTCTGTGCCCTTTCAAATTTTGAATTTTTGGTGTAATTTGAATGTTTGATGATCAATTTTTGTGGAATATGCATCTGGGTTTGTTGTTTGTATGAATCTTGGAAGCAAATGGTCTTAATTGATAATTTACGTGATTCTAATTGATGATTATAATTGCTCACCAATAAGATGGGTTCAATTTTAAGAATAATTTTTGAGGCAAGTATAATTACAATTCGTACTCCTAATAATACAACACTATTCATAAGCATTTTTAGAAGTAAAATTTGATTTAAATGCTTTTGATTTGAATTATTATAGGCCCTTTAATTATATAGTTGCTGGTGAAAAAAATTAATGATGCTCATACGCTAACATAAACAAGCCTTAATTGAGATGGAGTTTGATACAATAACTTTTTAGATGTTAGCTATAGAGATTATTGAGATGTAATACCTGGGAAATCTATATAGGTTACAATGTCTGCCAGTGGCTATAGAGTTCTCATCATTGGTCCTGAATGGAAGAGCTTGTATGATATTTGGTTTCGTGTGGAGAGCTTGTATCATATTTGTTTGAGTTAACTAACATTCTTGCTTCAACTGTGTTAAGCTGTTGCTACAATTTTTTGCTGAATTCCTGCCTTGATTTACTGATATTTTATTCTGAAATTTGAGAAGATTTGCTCTATTATGAATATATCGGCCATAAATTTCTGTTAGCCCACATGCTTGGTTTACAATTATTGTCGTTGTTTTCCTCAATCTCTCTCAATTCTCTCTCTCTCTATATGTGGTAATTTAGTGAGAAACATAGAAATTAACTAAGAAAGAACTGAAGACTCATGAAGCAATAATACATGATGAGGAGAGCCCAGAAATTAAAGCACAGGGAGTTCATCAAAATAATAATGGCAAAGAAATCAAGGGAAATTCGCTTTGCTGTTAGATGTGTGCCCCAATCAATTGAGGCTGCACTTCAAAAGGCTGTTCTAGATAGTTCCAATAATGATTGGTTATTATTGCATCAGGTATCGTGCTTAGTCAACATCTTGTTACATCTGTTGGTTTCTAAAATAAGCTATGAAGTAGAGCATTTTAAAGTATGGAGTTAGGACGAATAATCTGCTCTCTTTTTCAGTTCCTAATTTTCAAATAAATCTTGGTGCTTTATATAACTGTACATTAATGATCTACAAATGTGAGTGCTAGCAAACCAGAGGATTGTTGATTCTGTTGCAACACATTTGGAAGTTCCTACAGAACGTGTCTTGCTAATTAGCAAATTATGGTAACACCAGTGCCGCATCAACCATCAATCCCCTTGGCATTGGATGAAGCTGTTTGGAGTGGAAAAGTCCAGCCAAGATATATCATTGCAACATCTGAATTTGGTGCTGGTCTTACATGGGGTTCTTCCATTATTAGATGGGGATAAAAAAGAAAAGATTTTGTGAAATCATCCTCCTGTTTGCAATATCTTCTTATTGTTGGTGAAAGAGGAGGGCGTTAGAGGAAGTGTTGTCGGTTCATTCTTGAAGAATCTCACTTCCCCTGGTTACAGATGATTCAGGAGCAACACCTCTCATAATTCACTGAAGCTCCATCAGAGTGGCCCCTTCACGTGTTATATCTTTCCCTTTATTGCCAGAATAAGTTTTATTTATTCAAATCAGGTGAATTTATTCATACCTAGGAAAAAAAAACCTTCAAGTTGTTATTCATATTTTTTTTGCAGTGAGATCAGTACACAGAGCTATGAATCTTTTCAGATGAGTGATTCAAACAGCTTCTCTAGGCTTGTTCCTCCTGTCTGCTAGACCGTTTATGTTGAACTGTGTTGTTAGTACATTCATCTTTCTTGATATATTGAAGAAGTTATCGCCATTTCAGATTTATGTAGAAAACTGTTAATTGAAAGGGAGTAATATATATATATAGGGTCGGGATTCGGTGAGAACCACCTTCTATGTGAGAACTCATCCTATATGTGAGAACCAATCTCAGCCATCAAATTGTATTCAATCCAACGCATGTGATTAATCACATAAAACTCCTAAAAATCACACCTAACTGTCATCTCTTTCCACCTAGCTAACTAACTTCTCTCTCCACCACGAAGCTTCATCAATGGCGCCTAATCAGTAACGCTGTTTCTCATTGCTTCAAATTGGATCCTCCAAGTAATCATAAGCAAGTTCACACCGACCTCACTCGCCTTGCGCTATATTACTAATCGCGATTGCAATCACTACTACTAATCAAATTCGCCAGGTTATTGAATTGCATGTTAATTGGATGATAATTTTTGATTTTTTGGTTTGTTTTGTTCTTATTGAATTGCATATTTAATTGCATCAATCGCCTGGTTATTGAATTGCATGTTAATTGCATGATAATTTTCGATTTTTGAGGTTTGTTCTGTTCTCATTCAATTGCTTGTTTAATTGCATTAATTATGGATTTGATTGAATTTACTTCTTTGAAATTTTTTGAATTAAATCAATAATTTAGGTTTGATTAATTTGATAGAAATTGGAAATTTGCAATCAAATTTAAAATGAGCAAATGAATTGAAAATGAGCAAACCTAAATATTTGTAATAATATAAAAAACATATAATGAGCAAACATAATTAAAATGAGATAATCCAAAAAAAAATGAGCAAATATAAAAAGGAGCAAATGAGCAAAATAAGTTGGTAATGGTGGTGGTGGTAGGGTGCAGGGGACAGGGGTGGCAGCGAGGGAGTGAGAGTGAGACAGGTGGTGGTGGTGATAGTGGTGGTGGTAAGGTGCAGGGACAGGGGCGGAGGAAGAAGAGAGAGTTTGGTGGTGGTGGTGATTATACAGTGTAAGAAAGAGGGTGAGAAATGGGATTCAGCTCATTAACATGAGTTGTAGAAGCAGTGAAAGTGAAAGAGGTAGCTGTAGCTAATGAGCAAATATTTAGTTGCTCATTTATCAAATGAGCAAGTGGTTGTGCTTCTTAGATTGAGCACTTCTGTGTGCTATGATAATTTGATATTACTGTGTGTGTGTGTGTGTGTAAGTGAGTGTAAGAGTGCATGTGTTAGAGTGTGTGTGTGTGTGTAAGAGTGTATGGTTTTTGTAGGCAAATATGCTATACTGAATGCTATATATGCTAGGTTTTGCAAATCATAGTGAAGGGTAGCATTATCAAGTTTTACTCCTTTTCAAATCATCTAGTTTCTGCTATTAAAGCATTGAGTTCCTTGGTTTTCTTGCCTGCACACAAGCCCCACCCCACTTCTTCTTGGTCTGTTTCCTGCACACCAACCACACTCCCTTCTTACACTTCCTTATACAAACCTATTCCCCCTCCCCCCTAATCTTTCTGTTTGCACTTCTGATTTCTGAAGCTGATTTCAGATCTATTTTAGATTCTGAAATTATTTTGTGCGTGTGTGTGTGTGTGTGTGTGAGTAAGTGTAAGAGTTATGCTGTAAGTAGTAATTAATATGGTTAAAAACATGATGCAGCAACATAATGTTCTGATATGAGATTTTTAATGAGCTTCCTTAAACTATTTTATGGAATTGTTACTAACCTGTTATTTCTATTATATTTAATGTCAGAAATGATGAGCAACAACGAAGAACTTGACAGTCATTCTAGTACCATCACAAATGTGCCAACTACTCCTACAATAGTAGTTTCTTCTAAAGTAGCACCTTTGCTCACTCCTGGAGGAACAAAAGAATGGCTTCCAATATGCCCCAATGAGTTGAAACCAGCTATAGGGATGAAGTTTAATAATCTTGAAGAGGGCCTTGAATTTTATAAAAGATACGCATTTGCTGCTGGATTCAACACAAGAAAGTCTACAACTAAAAGGCAAAGAAGAAGCAAAGAATTGAAATCACAATATATCTTATGCAATAAAGAAGGATACAAAGAGAAAAGAAAGCCTACTGTTGAAAAAGATTTAAATAACAACGAAGGAGAAAGCAATGAAGAAAAAACTTCAATCAAAAGGAAGAGACTCGTTACTCGTGTTGGGTGCAAGGCACATATTGTCATAAAGCATTGTGATGATAACAAATTCATAGTGTCACAATTTCATGAGGGACATACTCATGCACTTTATACACCTAGTTGCAATCTCTTCCAAAAAAGAAGGAAGAAAAATGAACATATTGCACAAAAAAATAATTGTGAATAATTCTAAGGTACGACTTTCAAAGTCTCTTATGTTTCATGAATTCTCTATATGTTCTAATAAAAGTTGTATGCTCATTTGAAAAATGAGCATTTAAATGTTTGTTTATTTGAAAAATGAGCATTAAATTGTTTGATCATTTGAAAAATGAGCATTAAATTGTTCAAATGAGCAAGCAAATAATTGAATTGTTTGCTCATTTTTAAAATGAGCATTTAAATTATTTGCTCATTTGACAAACTGTTTTGTTCTTTAAATAGATGAATATTGGTCCTCTTACAACTTTTTGAATGATGAAGGAAATTGTTGGAGGATATGATAACATCGGTGCATCTAAGCAAGATTTCAAAAAATTTCATAGAGATTTGAAAGCATACATTCAAGGAAGTGATGCTTAAATGTTCGTGGATAACTTTACCAACAAAAAGCTAATGTGGAGCGCTTTTTTCTTTGATTTTGAGATGGATGAAGATTATTGCCTTTGTAGAGCATTGTAGGCTGACCCCTTTTGTAAAAAGAGTTATGCTCTATTTGGTGATATGGTATCCTTTGATACCACATACCAAACCAATAGGTAATTCATAAAAATCACAATTCATTTTTATGTTATAACTATAGCTTAACTTAATAACTTTGTTTTAAATGAACTTAGTATAATTGTTTGCTTATTTCACAAATGAGTATTGACTTATTTGCTCATTTCACAAATGAGCATTCAATTATTTGCTCATTTGATAAAAAAGCAAACAATTGTTTGCTTATTTCACAAATTAACATTGAGTTATAAGCTCATTTGACAAATGAGCAATCAATTATTTGCTCATTTGTCAAATGAGCATTGAATTATTTCAGTAGCTGATGACAATTCTGATTTCATAATCTGATTTCATATTCTATTACAGATTGTGAGTGCGTGTATGTATGTGTATGTGTGTGTGTGTGTGCTTGTGTCCGTATCTAAGTACGTGTGTCTGTGTATTTATGTGTGTGTGTAGTTATTTGATCATTTAAAATTTAATCTGTATGTGTAAACAGGTACAACATGGTGTTTACTCCATTAACAGGGGTTGACCATCATAAGAGCTGCATTACTTTTGCTGTTGGTTTCATAGCAAAGGAAGATATAGTGTCATTTGAGTGGTTGTTCAGATCATTTCTCAAAGCAATGGGTGGAAATGAACCGAATTGTATGATTACAGATCAAGATCCAGCAATGAAAATTGCTGTTAAAAGTGTGTTTAACAAGACTGAACATCGCTTCTGTATGTGGCACATGATGAAAAAGTTACCAGATAAGGTGGAGAAATCAATCATGCAAGAAGAAACTGGTTTCCTAAAAAAATTATGTGCTTGTGTTTGGCATCTTGACATTGAACCTGCTGAGTTTGAAGAAAGGTGAAACAAGATGATGGTTGAATACCACTTGGAAGAACATGAGTGGTTAGGTTATATGTACAAGATAAGGAACAAGTGGATTCCGGCGTATTTCAGAAATGTGTTCCTTGGAGGAATAATGCGTACAACATCAAGATCCGAAAGCGAAAACAACTTTTTCTGCTCCTTTATCAATCCTCATGTGTCACTTGTTGAGTTTTACTTGAGATATGAAGCTGCAATTGATGCCCAGAGACACACTCAAGGTCAGAATGATAATGATTCAAAGCACAAATATCCTGAGTGCAAAACACCACTAGGGATAGAAAAGCATGCCTCACATTTATATACTAACTCTGTCTTTTATGAATTTTAATATGAGGTTGAAATTGCTTGTTTTTCTTGTGGTGTTGATGAATTGAAGAAAGAAAATGGATTGGAAGTTGCAAAAGTAAGTGATGGAAATCGGATTAGAACATTTGATGTTGTGTTTAATCCAACTAACTATGATACCACATGTTCTTGCAAGCTATTTTATAGACAAGAAATTTCATGTAGACATATGATTTGGGTTTGGAAAGCAAAAAGGTTTGAAACCATTCCTGAGCAGTATATGCTACACAGATGGACTACTATGGCACTGAAAAAATCAATTTTTGACTTGGGTGGAAACCTGTTGGAGCAATGTGCTAATTTAATTGACAAGAAAAAATTGTTAAATGATTTATGGTCAGAGATACACACTTGTGTAAGTTTGGCAGAAGGCAATGATGAAGATATTCAAGATCTTGTGATAAATCTTCAAGGAATAAGAAAGGATTTGGAGGCTAAGAGGATTGCAAGGAATAATGAAACAACAGGAAGTGCAAACAACAAAGGACAAGACATTGAGCTATTGATTGGAGCTAGTGTGCCAACTGAAATAATTGTCAAACCTCCAAAAATTTCAAAGAATAAAGGGACTGGAGTTCATGTATCAAATGAAGAGACTTCAAAAGAGAAAGGGGCTGAGATTGATGTGCCAAATGTTGAAACAAGAGGTAGAAGTGCAAAAAGACTGAAGGTAGAAAAAGAAAAGGCTGTAGAACAAAACCAGAAAAAGAAGAGATTATGTAGAGGTTGTGGTGAATTGAGTCATCATGATATTAGAAATTGTCCAAACAAAGTATAATGATACTTTTATAAAAATATAAGATTTAGCATTTTGTGTTTTTAATTTTGTTGAAATGAGCAAATATTTTGCAAGCTCTGTTATCTATCATACACACATGTATTTATACCAAAGCTATTCTAATGTCCCTGGTATCCCTACAATTCAACAAGTTCCTGGGGTCTAAACACAGCATTGCCTCAATTCACAGCTAGCTTTTATAGAAAACAAAGAATATGCACCTTCAGCAATTTAGAGTACAAATTTCCCATGGGGTCACATAATTGCTCCTTAATCCATGTGGTGAGGTCTCCTCCTTCACATGTCAGTGTCTTTACATAAGCTACCCTTACATAAAAAACCAACACATTATAATTGTGCAACCATTCTTTACTAAAATGATAAGCTACAAACAAGGGCCTTTATGCTAAATCTTCACTGCTCCCACACTATCTCTAAAACAAAGCCTCAAACCTCTTATGACATATTCAAGTTCCAAAGAATAGGCATTTTCAGCATTTAAACAATTTAAAAATTAAATGCCAAAGGCAAATCAAAGACATTTAAACAAGGCATAGCTATAATTCTGGATATTAACTAAGTATAGCACAAATGAACTTAACAAAGCAGTAAGCAGAAGCAACAGAAATAGTCCAATCCAAGATATTATACAATGAGTTCAGTAAAGAGAACAACCCAACATACCCTAATCTTCAAAATCATAGAGGCTAAATTAACTAGATATATGCTAATATAAAAGTTAATATTTTTATACAAATATAAAAGTTAATATTTTTATATAAATATAAGATTTAGCATTTTGTGTTTTTAATTTTGTTGAAATGAGCAAATAGTTAATGCTCATTTGTCAAATGAGCAAACATTTCTTTAATCATACATTAAATCAACAACCATTTCTTTGCTCATTAGTGAAATGAGTAAGCATTAGTTTGCTCATTTTTTAAATGAGCAAATAATTAGTTACTCATTTGAAAAATAAGGAAACATTTCTTTGCTCATTTGGCAAATGAACAAATAGTTAGTTGCTCATTTGTCAAATGAGCAAATATTTATTTGGTCATTTGGCAAATGAACAATTATATACTGTTTGGCAAATGAACAATTAATTTTTTGTTGCTCATTTGTCAAATGAGCAAATAATTAGTTGCTCATTTGTCAAATGAGCAAATAGTTAATTAGCAATTTAACAAATGACCAACTTAATTAATAAGATAGAAAATGATATCCATTACATTGACATAGCAAAAGTTATACTTAGAAAATCCTAACAACATCATAAAAACATTTGATCAACTAAGAACATTTGTCACATTTGTCCTATTAAAACATCATAAAACTAACACTTCTATTGTTCTATACAAAAACTATACAAATCCTAAGAACATCATAACAATTGATCAACTTCAGTCTTTAACTCTCTCCGTTGATTGCTCTTGGATTGCTGCCCCTAGCTTTCTTCAGCATCACTTGCTTCCTCAGCCTTTTTTTTTTTCTTTTGGACAACTTGTTTAGCAGGTTTAACAGTATTTACTTCACTTGAAATAATTGAGAAGGTATACTTCAAACGAAGTTTTTCAATAATTATGTCCTGCAAAGAGAAAAAATGAAGCAATAATTTAGGGTAAGTAATGGCTTCATGAATGAATATCAACAAGCTGCTCACAAATTTTAACCTAAATTGCAATTAAAATTAAAAATGGATAAAAAGTGCAAGTGTCCCATTCCAGAAGAAGCAAATTATAAAAATTGCAATTAGACTTTTTCTGGTTAGACAAGTCAGGTTCTACTGCTTACTCTACCGTCCTCCCTGATCTGCCACTATCCTTTATAATCTTCTTCACTTCGTTCCTTAATCTTTTGGTGATGACTTATGGTGTATCTCATTCGAGATAAAACATTAAGATTCAGATATTTAGTCTTCTTTCAGAATATTCAATATTAGCTTCATAAGATTTAATAACTAAAGAGAGAGATATCGAAGAAAACTCATATCCACTAACTTCTGATTAGTTTCTAAACCCTAACTACTATCTTACCTAAGATTGTTTTGCAATTATTATAACAAGAAGCTATCACTGATTGAGTGTGTTCGTTAACAAATATACAACAATATGAAGAGAATAGAGTACTCAAAGCTCAGTAAAGAATGCACATAAAACAGGTGCCTACCAACAGGATTTGCAGCAATTAAGTGCTCTCCAACACATTTAATACTCATATGAGAGGAACATAGCCTGTAAGTTGCAACAACAAGCATGAAATGTGAAAGACTTAAATTATTTTTCTTTAAACCTGAATTCCACTTTTGCAAACCCATATATGTTTCCATATGCCTCATCATTGCAACACCACAATACAAATGATGATCATTTGAAGACTTCCAGGATAAATCAATCAGTACAGACTCCATAGACTTGATCTGTTTTGACAAAACAACACTTTGTATACTTCCTTCACCATCCATGAAATATGAAAATGCACTTCTCTGAAAATGAACAAATAAGTTAAAATAAGAACAAAAACAGGTAGAACAAATATAGTCAGAACAAGCAGAACAAGATCAAGATAAGCAACTAAACTCTAATCATTTTTCTAAAATAATCTAACAAAATCTTGAGCCATTACTGCCACCTACCCACACAAACCTACCCACACATTACACAATTCTGATTTCAGAAACTAATTTCAGAATCTGATTTCAGATTCTATTACAGGTTGTATGTGTGCTTGTGTGTGTGTGTGTGTGTGTGTGTGTGTGTGTGTATGTGTGTGTGTGTGTGTGTGTGTATATTTTCTTGTTATGGGAGAAAGGAGAAATTCAGAGGAGAATCCTGAAAGGGTTAGGGTACCGTCGTCACTGGCTCCGAGGACATGGAATTTCATTCAGGGATATAATGAGAGGAGACATGAATAAGGAATCTGGTAACAACATGACAGGCATCAATGGGGATATTGATAATGAAGTGATTTATGATGATGATGAAGTGCCAGGAGACGTACCAGATTTTTAAGCAATTTCTTATTTTCTCTAGGACCATCACTGTAATCAATAACCTCAATTGTACCACGGTCTGTGGTGGTGTTAAAACATACCAGATAATAATGATTTTTTTCAAATACTGGGAAAAAGAAAAGCTCAATATCTTTCTTTAGGATGATTGTTTTGCTGAATTCCAACTCCACAACCTCACAAAACATTTTATTCCTTTCTTGAGCACGATCGCTTTCGTATTGAAAAAGGCAATCCTAAAAAATACATAAAGAAAAATACATAAATAAGATAAATATAAATAAAAAGAGTAAATAACAAATGAGCAAAGTGAATATGAAATGAGAAAAGTCCTATAAAATGAGTAAATTGAAATTTTTTTTACAAATGAGCAGTGAATGTTTTGCTCCATTGACAAATGAGCAAAAAATTAACTGCTCATTTGGCAAATGAGCAAAAATTAATTGCTCTTTTAAAAAATGAGCAAACGGAAGACAATACACTACAAAGTGCAAACAAACAACCATGACATAATTATGCCTTGAAGATAACTATAATAGGCAAATTTCTTAAATTAGTTCTGTATATCAAATACTTTATCAAAAGATTTTATGTTATTTAATGTCCAATAAGAGACTTAAATTAGTTCACTATTTATTTTTTGCTCATTTGTCAAATGAGCAAGAATATTAGCAAGAATATTTGACAAATGAGCATTGAATAGTTTGCTCATTTGACAAATGAGCAAAGAACTAATAATAGTTTTTGCAAATACAAAACAACATCTACATTCAAATATAAAAAATTATATGAAATGAGCAAAGTGAACATGAACAAAATAAAATGAACGAGTTGAACTTACAACTGCATTAAGACCGAAAAAGAAACGTCCACTAGAATTGATATCTCTATATTGCTCATTATAATTCAGAACAGTAGACCATGCATTAATGATATCGCCATGAATTTTGCTCTGAGTTTTTAGCATTTCAAGTTGAAATAGCATTACTTCACTATCAGGCTCACCCTCGCATAAAAACCTGCATCACTACATATAAGATTTAGGGAAGTTAAAATAATTTCAATCGTAGATATGTAAAGTGAGAATATAGAGCTAGACTTGTTTTAAGAAAGAAAAATATGGTCAGTTGCCAATTTCCAGAACTGAAAAATTGAATAAATACTTACAAACGATTTTTCTTCTCATGAAAAAATGAATCCATAACACCTTTCTGAACTGCTGTTAATGGTGTATATATGTTGATAATCCGAGACTTAAAAAGAGATCTTATCTGCAACGATGGTTGCACTTTACGCTTCTTTGGAATACAACTCTCATTTTCAGCATCTCCTTTTCTCTTAAGCGCAATTGGATCTTCTTGAGCATTCACAGCAACAGCAGCAACAACTGATTTAGAAGCACCAACTTGTGCACTGACAGGAGCAACTACAGGTTCATCTGAGAATCAGTTTCTTGAGAAGAGATTCCTAAGCAAAATGAAGGAGTTCCATATCCTTTGGCAACTGAACTTCTTAAACTATATCTCATACTTGACTCTCCAAGTTTTTTAAACACATGTTCAGCAACCTTAGGCTGTATGATAACAGATGGAGCTGTATACCACTTGCTATGTGAACACATTCAAGCAATCTTAGTAACATTAATTGGTTCTGATTCAATCAGATGATCAACCCTAGCATTAATTGTAGATTCAACATGCTTGTCATTGCCTGAAATCTTTGAAAACCCATCCCAAGCTTCAATTACAGCTGGATCTTGCCAATACTGTTCATCTTGGCTAAATGAGAGAAAAATATCTTCAGTCAAAGCTTTAGAGCTCATCTTCTGCTCATCACAAATGGTCATTGCATCTTCTTATTGTTTGGAAAATACTTAACAGCAGTTTCATGTTTTTGACTGAAATCCATGTATGCCAAGATTAGATTTGTAGATGTTGTTGCAAGCTCCATAAGGCATTTCTATAAAAAAAAAAATACATAATAAGATTAATATAAATGAAAAGATAAAATATGAAATGAGCAAAGTGAATATGAAATGAGCAAAGTGGATGTGAAATGAGCAAAGAAATGTGGTACAGAAATGTGATATTAACCCTATCCTCCCTAAGATACAACCAGAAGATGTATCTTAGGCAGGATAGGGATTGGGCTGATAATTATGATGTAGATTCAGACAACTTTTCATAGGTTAGCTTAGGGGAGGAGGCACAAATCACTATTTTACAAGGTCTGGGGTAGGACATGTAAGCTACGTATGGGACATCCATAGTTAGGGTGTCACCAGGTCGGGCTGGGGAATGACCATATGCTCACTTCTACTCTTATACAAGTTGCAAGCTCTGTTATCTATCATACACACATGTAATTATACACACATGTAATTATACACACATGTAATTATCTATCATACACACATGTAATTATACCAAAGCTATTCTAATGTCCCTGGTATCCCTACAATTCAACAAGTTCCTGGGGTCTAAACACAGCATTGCCTCAATTCACAACTAGCTTTTACAGAAAACAAAGAATATGCACCTTCAGCAGTTTAGAGTACAAATTTCCCATGGGGTCACATAATTGCTCCTTAATCCATGTGGTGAGGTCTCCTCCTTCACATGTCAGTGTCTTTACATAAGCTACCCTTACATAAAAAAACCAACACATTATAATTGTGCAACCACTCTTTGCTAAAATGATAAGCTACAAACAAGGGCCTTTATGCTAAATCTTCACTGCTCCCACACTATCTCTAAAACAAAGCCTCAAACCTCTTATGACATATTCGAGTTCCAAAGAATAGGCATTTTCAACATTTAAACAATTTAAAAATTATATGCCAAAGGCAAATCAAAAACATTTAAACAAGGCATAGCTATAATTCTGGATATTAACTAAGTATAGCACAAATGAACTTAACAAAGCAGTAAGCAGATGCAACAGAAATAGTCCAATCCAAGATATTATACAATGAGTTCAGTAAAGAGAACAACTCAACATACCCTAATCTTCAAAATCATAGAGGCTAAATTAACTAAATATATGCTGGTAGTTAAAAAAAAAAAAAAAAAAATTGATATCGGATTCAATTAATATGCACAACTCAAAGGATATTCACCATGAAAGTCACCCTCACCTCATAACAACTCGCACACCCCCAACCTTTTTAACCCCCTACTCTTTCATCGCACGGCAATCCCCAAATTCACAAAACAACAATACAAATTCACAAATTAAGTAAAAAATAACAAAAATTAGGAAAAAAAAAACAAAAACAAAAAATGAGCAAAGTCATATAAAAATGAGCAAATTAATATAAGTTTCCGGAAAAGTCATATAAATACCTTCTTCGGATCTTGTTCAATTTCTTCATTTTTTGTATGAATTGGATCAGATTGTTCCTAAAATCAAGCAAAAATAAAAAAATAAAAAAAAAAAAAGAAAAAAAAAAATAGCTACTTGTGTAACTTTCATCCAAATCACACACAGTATCAAATGAGCAAAAAATAATTGTTCATTTGACAAATGAGCAAATATTTTTTTGCTGATTTATGAGGTCCATTAATGTGCTATAAAGAGCACCACATTGCATCATTTTCCTAAAGGCAAAATTTGTTCCAATTCAATTCTTCAAACAATGCCAAAGACATAGAAAAACTAAGTATTGGTTACAAGTGAAATACCATTTTTGGTTGATTGCTGCCAGAAGGACCAACAAGCTTCTGATTTTTATCAAAAATTCCAAGCCTCCCCTTAAAAATTTCCAATTTCTCACGACTTGACAACATATTGGTTGTTCAACCTTTGAGAAGTGGAGTTTCTCGTTTGGCTCTAACTGATGAACATATAAAAGCTACAAACAAGTAAGATAGAAAAAATTAGTACATTAAAATTAAACAAATAACAATTAATACATACAATAACTACAAACAAGTAAGAAAAAATAATTAGTAAATTAAAAATCAACAAATAAGTAAAAAATACTACATTAAAAAAAAAAAACAAAAATTAAAGTAATACCATAAGAAACAGTAAAGACCCAAGAAAAGAACGAGTTTGACGTTCTTCCCAGAAAAGCTTGGCATTCACAAGTGAATCAAGGATATACTTGCACCAATTCAAGTCCTTTATTTTATCAACATCAGAAAGAAATGTGAGAATATCAGAATTGATATTCACATTTTGTTTCCCTGACAAAAAAATGAGCAAAACAAAAGAAAAATGAGTAAAATGAAATTTAAATGAACAAAATATAATATAAATAAGCAAACAAAATTGAAAATGAACAAACTCCTATAAAATTTAAAACCTTGATGTTGACTCTCCACCTTTTCCTGATGATATAATTAATTTTATTTCAGAAACTCTTTCAGCTTCCCTATTTTGATAGAGAGTGAGTTGCTTTTGAATTGCTTCTTCCATTGCTGAATCACTCTCTTATCTCTGGAAAAATTATTTTTGTCAATTTCAATGATACAAAAAGGTTCAGCTGGAATGTTTAAAGAGCATGTGTTAGCATCAAAGTGATGAACCAACCATAAACCCAACTGCCTCACCTTCAAGAACTCCATAGACCCGAATCCTATTGCTCTAATAGCTTTCAACTGATTTTCTGAACATTTTTCAATAACTTGAACTATGGATGAAGGGGACATCCGACTATGTAATGTCCTATAAACACGAGACTTCAAATTTTCCCCTTCGTTGCTGGATTTCGTCTCCTCCAACTTAATCTTCTGTTTTTCTTTCAATCCTTTTTCAACCTTTTTCCCTTTAACCTTAGTACCAACTAATACCTCTGATGAACCAACATCAGCAGTCAGCAGCAGGCCCTGTTGATCCAACATCAGCAGCAGGCCTTGCTGAAACAACATCAACAGCAGCACCTGATGAACCAACATCGGCAGCAGGCTCCTTTTCAATAGACTTCCTGCTCATACAAAACAATAAAAAAAAAAAGTAAATAATTAGTTGGTAATTTTATACAAATGAGCAAAAACATAGATGCTCATTTGTCAAATGAGCAATCAATTTTTTGCTCATTTACCAAATGAGCAAATAGTAGATTACTCATTTATCAAATGAGCAAACACCTACACATGATAATGAGGAGGTTTTCCCATCTGAGGTGTTTAAAGCTAATCAGATTTATGTTTAAAGCTAACCAGAAGATGTATCTTAGGGAGGATAGGGATTGGGCTGATAATTACGATGTAGATACAGACAACTTTTCATAGGTTAGCTTAGGGGAGGAGGCACAAATCACTATTTTACAAGGTCTGGGCAGAGTAATATGGTGCAAGGGTAGGACAGGTAAGCTACGTATGGGACATCCATGGTTAGGGTGTCACAAGGTCGGGATGTCGGGATAGGTTGGGATTGGGGCTGGAGAATGACCATATGCTCACTTCTACCCTTGTACAAGTTGCAAGCTCTGTTATCTATCATACACACATGTAATTATACCAAAGCTATTCTAATGTCCCTGGTATCCCTATAATTCAACAAGTTCCTGGGGTCTAAACACAGCATTGCCTCAATTCACACCTAGCTTTTATAGAAAACAAAGAATATGCACCTTCAGCAATTTAGAGTACAAATTTCCCATGGGGTCACATAATTGCTCCTTAATCAATGTGGTGAGGTCTCCTCCTTCACATGTCAGTGTCTTTACATAAGCTACTCTTACATAAAAAAACCAACACATTATAATTGTGCAACCACTCTTTACTAAAATGATAAGCTACAAACAAGGGCCTTTATGCTAAATCAAGGCAGGAATTCAGCAAAAAATTGTAGCAACAGCTTAACACAGTTGAAGCAAGAATGTTAGTTAACTCAAACAAATATGATACAAGCTCTCCACACGAAACCAAATATCATACAAGCTCTTCCATTCAGGACCAATGATGAGAACTCTATAGCCACTGGCAGACATTGTAACCTATATAGATTTCCCAGGTATTACATCTCAATAATCTCTATAGCTAACATCTAAAAAGTTATTGTATCAAACTCCATCTCAATTAAGGCTTGTTTATGTTAGCGTATGAGCATCATTAATTTTTTTTCACCAGCAACTATATAATTAAAGGGTCTATAATAATTCAAATCAAAAGCATTTAAATCAAATTTTACTTCTAAAAATGCTTATGAATAGTGTTGTATTATTAGGAGTACGAATTATAATTATACTTGCCTCAAAAATTATTCTTAAAATTGGACCCATCTTATTGGTGAGCAATTATAATCATCAATTAGAATCACGTAAATTATCAATTAAGACAATTTGCTTCCAAGATTCATACAAACAACAAACCCAGATGCATATTCCACAAAAATTGATCATCAAACATTCAAATTACACCAAAAATTCAAAATTTGAAAGGGCACAGAAAAAAGAAATTGTACGAACCACAAGGGTGCTTGAATTTGAATTAACTTCTAGCCATCTTAGTACTCAAAAAGGTGCAATTGGTATCTGCAAATACCAAACAAAAAAAGAATAACAATTATCAAGGATGCCGTTTTGAAGCTTAGAGGTAATAAACATTAAATACATTAATGTATGGTATTTCTACTTTATACCATATAAGGTCGATAATGTTTATTGAAAGATCTAATAAGAAGTTTTTCATATAAAAATGACCTATCATCTATAAAAAAAATTTGCTCGTTATAATATTTCATTACTTCAATGATTATAAGATTTATAATGAATAGTTTCATAATCTAACTTAGAATAACCCTAAATCAATAGTTTCATAATCTAACTTAGAATAACCCTAAATCGATAGTTTCATAATGTTCCTTAGAATAACCCTAAATTGAGTACAATTAAGTTTCGATAAACCTTAGATTGTGAAATTGATACGGGGTGATTAATAAGAAGAAAGAAAATCTTACCTCATGAAGGAGTAGAACCCCATAAGTCGCTTCAGTGCGAAGGGCGAATAACGTTGAGAATTTCTCCTTTCTATATTTCCCTACAAAATTTCAAACCCAGATTTCAATTACATAAATTAAAAACCAGAAATATATAAATTCAGAGTAAATCCAGTAAAAACAAACAAAAAAATGAAAGAGGAAAGGGGAAATGGTACCTCAACAGTTAAATAGACAATAATATGAAATTGAACTCCCAAATGTGAAATTCATATTGGACAATTTAAAGGAAAAAAAAAACCCCTTACCTCAACAGCGGGCTTCAACACAGGAGTAAGAGCAAAACATGGAGAGCTCAGGAGAAGAGGAGGAGGGAGATGAAGTTGTGGCTGTAGTTGGTTTGCTTCTCAATCTATCAACACTGAAATTAGAGGAGATGAATTTGTGGTTGTGGTGAGAGGGCGGAAATTTGGACTTCTTTTAGGGCAAAACAGTCCAAACACTGTAGATAAGCAAAGTGCAGGCTATTTTCGAGGGCAAAAATATACCTGATTTTCCTTGAGGAAAAGGGTGATCTTAGTACCCCTTCCAAGTTGTTCACCAGTAGTGTCCCTTGTGGCAGTGAAGGAACCACCAGCTTGAGACTCCCAAACGAACTGCTCGTCATCATTGTGCTTGGTGGATACAATGACCTTTTCAGCAAACAATTAAGCTGAGTAGAAAATAAAATCAAAAATCAGACAAAGAATCACACAATAACCTCATCAAAACAACAAAAAATACAATCACACAATAACCTCATTCTGTCGATAGCAGTCTGTTATACCATAACTCCATTAGCAAAACAAAAAAAAAAAACAAAAAAAAAAAAAAAAAACGAAAAACAGATAAACAATCACATCAAAAACCAAACATTACAATGAAATCGCAAATTCAACCCAAAAAAACCGAAAAGATTACAAACAAAACTGTTAATTCAAAAAGGATCGTGGTTCCGATGTTGGTCTTTCTGTGTTATTCTAATTTTCTTTTTCTTAAACATTTTCCAGTTGTGGTTATATCAGAACATTTTCATAACTTTATAGTTTTAGTAATCAATGCTTTGTATATATTGTTTGTATATATTCTAGCCTAAAGAGGGGAGTATCAAAAAGATTTCTTTTCAAAAGACATTGAAAAGAGAATGGGAGGAAATGAGTAAAGACATAATCAAAACAGCAGCATAAATATGCCAGTAGAAGTATAAATTATAAAATCAAATGTAATCAACAGCTTTACTATTCCATTACTCAAGTATAAACAAATTTTACTTAATAAATACTACTCGTACCGTGTCTAGACATACAAATTGTAGACTAGTTATAAAGTACAGGAAAAAATATTACTGTCCAGCCAAGCTATAGTCTATAATCTATGCCCATTAAATGGTGAATGAAACTAAACAAATAGAATGTAAATATTCTACAAAAATATAAATGTGAATCCTGTCCTTTTTTCCATTTCTTTATTATAATATTTTTTTTGTTTTATGTAATGACAAGTACCCAAAAATAACCCTGAAGAAATAATCATAATCAATAAAATTCAAAGAAACAGAATCGGAATCAGTAAAATTCAAAACACAAATAGTAAACCCAAATAATTAAACAAATATATACACTAAATCACCTCATGGAAGCTTTATTAGCGAACAAAAAGAAGAATACCAAAATAAAAGAAGAAGCAAGCAAGTACGAAAAGAAAATCCCAAAACTAAAATTCAAAATAGACGAACAAAAAGGAAAATAAAAGCTAAATCACCTCATATAAGCTTCAATGGCGAACAAAGAAAAGAAAACCAAATTACCTTCAACATCTATTGCATGCTCTTATATATGTAATATTAATCAAATCAACTACAACTCCTCCGAAAACTAATAGACTAATATACATAACCCAATTGCATGTTAAAGAAGAAGCAAGTACGAAGAGAGAGAAAAGAAGAAGGATAGACTGTGTAATAGCATCTGATTTTAGGGAAAAAGAAAAAGGGAAGAAGGACAAAAAAGCTGAAAAGCAATGAAAATTAGAATACAATGGCAAGACCGTTAAAAATATAACTCAGAGCCACAAGGCAGTTTACTAAACAGAGATTCATATAAAATAGCTACACGTGTACAACATGTTATAAATTAAATAGTTTCAACATCAAAAACGGCAAAAAAAAGGTAAAAAAAAAAAAAAGGCAATTTGATTAATAATCTGTAATTGCAGCAAAATGAAGGATATTCAAGCTATCAAAAGGCTCCATTCTCAACCAATAAGCAACATAAATGCTAAAAAAAACTATCATCAAGATTGACATCCTTTCCCTCTCCATAATCTTCTCTATACATAGAATTTCTTCCCTAATTATATCTAATTAATTTCCAAATCCCAAGCTACTCATAACTAACATATAAAGATACTGCCAAAAGAGCCCCTCCCCTAGTTCCCCTTAAATCAGTTTACTGCATAACATCAATGAGTAAAGAACTGATTATTTACCTCTCCCTTTTTCCTTAGATTCAGTAGAATCAGCTCCAGAAGTGGAATTCCCTGAACTTCTCCCACATGCAAAATTCTGGAAATTATAATAGGTGTAAAAACTGAATTATCACATATTAAGACAGAGATTAATTTTTCACACATAATTTAAATTAATATGCAAAATTCTGGAAATTATAGTAGGTGTAAAATTTCTGTTTTACTTCATCTAACGAAATAATCTAATTGAATTTTATTAGTCATAAACCTCAGTTGCAACAATCTTATATTTCCTCATTTCGGCACAAATCTCAAGCATGCAAAACTGCAAACAGCAGCCAAAAAATCTAATTATCGCCATTGTTAAACCTCATCCTCCCCTGTCAGACCTCCAACATCAATTGCATGTTCTTATATGATATTACACTTTTTAATCTAAATTACCTCAACCAAATGTAAAAAGAAAACCTAAAATTGATTTGATTTGATTTAATTTGAACTTGAATAGAGTTAATCAATTATGAATTCAGAATTAGTACCTTCACAACAGATACACCCAACTCACTGACACCTTCAAACCCGAGTGAATTTCTCCAGGAATACCGCAAAATAACCCTGAAGAAACAATCGGAATCAGTTAAATTCAAAGAGTAATCAGGGGTAACTGTACATATTAATGATAGTGGATTAGGAGATGCATGTATTCATATGAGTGAAACCAGTAACATATAAACCCAAATCAGTAAAATTCAAAGAAAAAGGATTGAAACCAGTAAAATTCAAAACTCAAATAATAAACCCAAATAATAATTAAACAAATATATATATATATATACACTAAATCGCCTCATCTAAACTTCAATGACGAACAAAAAGAAGAATACCAAAATTAAAAGAAAAGGCAAGCAATTACGAAAAAAAAAAACCCAAAATTAAAATTCAAAATAAATGAAGAGAAAGAAAAAACACACTAAATCACCTAATATAAGCTTCAATGGCGAACAAAGAGAAGAAAACCAAATTGAAAGCTTCAATGGTGAACAAAGAGAAGAAAACCAAATTGAAAGAAGAAGCTTAATTTAACCAAATATTCTCTGTACTATTATTACGAAAAAACTGAATGCAACTTAACATAATTAATCTTAACAGTACTTAATTTAAGAGTATTTTATACTAAGAGTTGGGATACAATCGCCGCTATAAATCTATAAGTCCTTGCTAAAATGGTAGCAAACAAAACTGAAACAGCATATGAAGAAATCTTATAAAAAAAGTACAATCTTGCAACAAACCTTCTTCTTTTTAATCCCAGCATTTTCAGTATGCCCATCGATAAGAAAGTAACGACTCTTACAACAGGATATAGCAACAAAGAAAGCCAGTAATAATAAATAAATAAATCTAATCTAATAATAATAATAACACATAAATCCATCAAGCACACAATCAACTAAATGTGAAGATCAATTTTGATATACTGAGAAGAAAGACCTCTAATCACCTCCCCATCATGTTATTAGGTAGAACTTCTGTAGCACTTGGAGGTGGGCTTTGTGGTTGTGGTGTGCCAACATTGGCCACAGCATAGTCTTCGTGGATGGTCCCTAATTCATTCCATTCAACTCCAGCTATCACTGAGTTAGGGAATCAAAGTTCATGTTTCTTTCTTCAGAAACTTGACAAAATTATTTTTTATACAACAAAATGAAACGTAAGTAAAAAAAAGTGAAAGGATAGTCTGTTCTCCACATATCAGTAATGCTGACATCACCATCCGACAGTAACCAGTAATCTGCATCACTCTGTAAAGGAAGCAGAAGACATAAATGTATTAGATACTTACTATTCAAGCACATGGAAGGACAAAATTAACAACTGCGAACACTTTATACTTCTATTCCGCTTGCAAGGAAGGTCTAACAAGAAAATTTATGAAAAAAAAAAAAAAAAAAAAACCATGCTAGAGCGCAAATTAGATGGTGCACATCGAAACCTATAACATGACTGTTGATAGCAATCAACTTCAGCCCAAGAAAAAAGAAGACAACAAACAAACAATCATGACTGATGTACTTTACACATTCAATCATTTGATAAAAGCTCGATTTTCGGACAAAGTACATTAAACATCAAATCAAGCACTCATGCTCACAGAAATGCTAGAAAAACTAACTCTGCACCCAAAAGAGCAGCAGCAATTCCTAATGTGCCACACCCACAACCAAAATCAGCCACCACCTTATCACTAACATCTCCAAATGAATTCTCTGCCTACCCAATTCAAGAAACAAAAATACCTATCAATTATCGGTCCAGTAAATCGATCAAACTTCGAAAAGATTACAACTTTTAAATGATATCAACAACAAAATGATGTTATACTAATAAAGAAAGTAATGGGATTATTACATACACTGTATAACATCAGAGAAGCAATACGAGGGCCAGTTGGGTATTGTTCAAGTTCAATCTGCAGCAGCAAAGGAGTAATATCCAACACACTTATCTGAACAGTCATTCGTGATATAGCGTAATATACTAACAGTCATTCGTGATATAGCGTAATTATATCACGAATGACTGTTAGTATATTTAGTTTTCATAGTAAACTCATTGTTGGGATGGTTTTATATTTTAATCATTGTCTTAATTTTAGTATTGACTTGTGTTCGTGAACTAATTAACCATAGTTAATCAAGCTAATCAACCATACTTAAGGACTAAACAGTTGAATTACATGGAACCCCTTATGTAACAAATATATGACATACATGCTCATGATGAACCCATGCTGATGTTGATTTCATTATCCCCAATTATACAAAATTGATGAAGTCTTCCTTGGATAATGCACTAATTAATTCTTAATTATATCCTAGTTTCATCTTTTTTTAACCTAAGATTCCTTGCTGGCATTGCATAACGTTCCATGCACAGACCACATAATAATAACTAATAATAAAATTAAGGGATATTCTCAATGGTAACCCCCTATTATTGCTACGCACCAATGGTAACCCTCTTTTTTTTGGATTATACAAAATTACACTACTTTTCTTTTTTCTCCTAAAAATGACTTTAATGATGGTGTTTTAACATAAAATAGTCAATTAAAATTAACTATGGTTAGTTTTTTATATTTATAAAAAAAAAAATGACACTTGTTGCAAGATCATTGGTTAAAAATTAAAACAAAAAACAAAAACAGAATTTCAAAAAATTTTCACCCAGCCCCACCCCTTTATGGTTGCCAAACCATCCGGCCACCTTTACGGCGGCCATCCGTTCCCCCACTCCAGGTGCTGCGCCAAATTCCCCCTCCCCTCGCGCTGGTACTGTAACCCACCCCAATCGCCGCCCTCCTTCCCTAACCCAACCCTTCCTTTTCCGGTTCTTCTCCGCCGTTAAAAGCCCCAACCTCCGCTCCCGGAACTCCCTTGAAACCCCTTTCCCTACTCCCGAAAACACCCAATCGGCCCTCCCCACCACCAAAAACCCTAGCCGTTTGTGGGTTTTCGGAGTTGCGGGAGAGGTTTTCTTGGGGGTTGCGTGCGACGAACCGAAATTGGGATTTCTCTATTGAATTGCTGCCATGGTTCTTCAATTAGATGCAAAATTGGTGCAATTGGGGCTGCTGCGGTGGTGCGAAGGTGGAGTGGTGGTTAACTGGTGGTATGTTGCGACGGTTCGGTGGTATTGTTGGCGGCTAGTTAGGTGGTTGGTGTGTGCGAGGTTGAGATGGCTGGATTGGTGATGTGTGGGCTGCTGGAGGTTGGGCGGCTGTAGGGGCTGGAGGTGGCAGGGGTTGGGGCTGGGTGGGGGATTGGGTGGGTTCACCAGCTAGGGTGGGGGCATTTTTGTCATTTCGCTATTTTGGTTAACCATGGTTTAATTTTATATTAAAACACCATCATTAATGTCATCATTAGGAGAAAAAAGATAACTAAGGTCATTTCGCATAATCCAAAAAAAGTAGGGTCACCATTAGGGTGTAGCAATTATAGAGGGTTACCAATGAGAATTTCCCTAAAATTAATAATTTAATATTACTTACCCATACAAAAATTAAATAAAAGCACTACAAACTTATTAACCCATGAAAATTTTCACTCTTAAAAACCAATTTTAATTACAATACCGTTTCTTACTTTACTAAGGTCTCTCTCCTTTAAGAGTCCTTCCAATTCTCATGGAATGCTTGATTAAACATATAATTGTTGTCGGGTTGTTAAAGGCCTAAGGGAGACTGATATTACTTAATAAAAATTGACCTTGTATCTCTCTTCTTTCTTAAGAAACTAATAAGATGACCTTTTAACTATTAAAGTCGCTGAACTTATCTTCATATTAACTGTGGTATACTGGTGATCCATTATTTGTACTATAGGACACCAAATTAAATTAGCTCATAGATTAGCAGAATGTGGCAACTGGCAACCCTGAAACAGGCATTTCTACACAACATCTTATGGAATTAAAGACAACAAAAATTAAGCACACAGAAGGGGATATTTTGTTGATAAGAACGAAAATCAACCAATAGTCAAATGCCATGATGATAAGTGCGTAATACAACGAAGTCAGAGGTGCAAGGAAATATCTCTAAACCACAATACCCAAAACTGAATGCCAGTATCTCATTGTAATAAGCTATCTCAGTACATGTAGGTTTCTTCCAAACTGTGTCTTAATACTGCAGTTGATAGAAATGCAAATGCCGGTAACAGCTACTTCATTGCTACAGTCATCAGACAGGGTATTCATGTTAATTTGACTATTGAGTAGAAGCAATAGAAGGAGAAATAATGCAAATTAAAGTCAGCTAATCCACTAATATGTCTATTACCCTCTTCTTGATTCCAACAGCTTATACACACCCCACTAAGCTAAACCCCAAAAAAAGAAACCACAGCACAAACTACATCATTTCAGATCACAATTTAGCAGAATTGTCAACTTACCAACTGTAATGTAGTAACCGAAATGCCCAAACAGCCAATTGAGTACCAACCAAAGTGACAGTTTATCCAATGCACTGTAAATTGCAAAAGAACAACAATAAGCCTTAACCATAGAATAACAATAACTTGTCACTGTAAAAGAGCTAAGTTGCTTCAGATAACAAAAACAATTGCAGACCAGACTCAAAAGATGGTGTGCAACAAAACAATCACGACCTACGCTTGTTAGCCGAAGTGTGCATTTGCAGTCTTCAATGAGAAAATGTGTCATATTGTAAACTAACAATCTATTGATGAGTAATAACAAACATCGCAACCTAAACTTACAAGCCACACTCATGAAAGCAATAGAGGTCTTGGCCTACGAGCTGCAATAACCATTTATAATCTACTACGTGGCCCATGCACCACCAGGTTCCACCCAAAGCAAAATAGCCTAGTTATTAATCTATACATATTTGATGATCGCATTTAATGGTAATCTATTTATATTTAGGTATGAATTTAGATTTAGAGTTTTAGATCTATTCCATCAGTTATTCATGATCTATTACATGGATTTTCTCCATTCAAAAAATAAAAACCGCATATTACGATACACCACTCTCTTATGATTATAAGTACCACAATAAACAAATGCAAATCAAATATCATACCTGAACAATAACAAAAACAATAAAAGTACAAGTAAAAGCTGCAAAACCCCAAAACAAAATGAATTTTCTTGGCAGGTATACTTAATTAAACTTGCCTAGCGTTTCTTAAACATGCAAGTAGTGAGAATAAAGTTGCAAGATTTAAGCATAACACGGTTTAATACAGACAGAACATCCACCAACTAAATAAAACATGTTAAGCCCAAAAATACACTTTACGAACCCAATCAAGCTCACTTAACGAATTCAAGCAGCAAACGAAACCAATAAATCTCACCTAACATCACATGCAAAAAATAATTAAACCAAGAGGACACCAAGATTCAAAAGCAAAACAGAATTACCTAAATTCACTCCATCAAAAAACACATAATTGATATAAAAATCAATCACAAAAATTAGGTCAAAATCAATCAAAAAAGAGGAGAGAGGAAGAGGAACCATACCATATTTGCGAAGACGATGGTCGACGGAACTCTTGTGCATAGCAGCCAAGACATTCTTCTTAGGATTAAGAAGAGTCTTCAACAATGAAGATGAACCAGTAGCAATCGCCATTTTTGTAGGTTTGCTAAGCTAGTAAGCTCAAACAAAAATTTCAGAATGAAAAATGAACAGAGACCTTAACACAATCAAAATCAGTAAAAACCAACATCAATAACATCGAAATTCAAAACTCAAATTATGAAGCTCAAACCAAAATTTCAAAAGATTCACACTTAATATTAGCTCAACCCAAAAAATTAAACAAATCTACACTAAATCACCTCATATAAGCTTTTTTATGCAGTCCTGAACTCTTGCTGAAGAGCAAGATGCTTTCATCTTTTACCTCAACTGTTCAGCAGTTGATACTATTCCGATAGCGGGCTTTTGAATCTTGACAAAGATTAAGACAATGATTAAAATATAAAACCATCCCTCTACATAAAAAACTATGCTCAAGAATTTGATCGCTCATAACTAATTATGACTGAGCAGCTGTTATCTGTGATTTCATCACAGTTAGCTCATATAAGAAATTTATTGAATTATTATATGGAGAAATGGTGTGATGCTCACACAGCTTGTTAAAGTTAAGACGAATAAGTAGGGAACCTGAGAGTAGAGTTGGCAAATCTATTTTTTCTAGCAAGTGAATACAGCTAACATAATAGCTCAACTTCAGATTGAAGGCAATGCCCAATTCACAGTAGCAGTTTACTTCAACCAAAAGTTACTAAGAAAATGCAGGCATATAGCTTGATACTGTTAGAAGAAGAGTCACACTGCCACCATAAAGAAGGCATACATTTCTAAGCTCGAGCAACAATTTTTAGAACAACAACCACGGGTATAAAGTATATAAACAACTGGTAAGCTAGTACCAAAGGTGATAGGACTTAAAATGGTCGATATTCACTGAGAAAATCTACTACACTGAACTGCCTTTGATTTCTAAGGTACTAACATGGACATTTTAACACTCAGTTTACCATAGAAACACTCAATATGCTGCCATTGGTTTTTGATATACAGCATCCTACATACTACATAGGCTTTCATCCGACGGAAGAGGTTATTTTTCAGGCGATCATCCACATTCCCCTGTTTAAGAATAGTAATCTAACTACTCAAGATGCAAACTACCGCTAATAATACACCTATTTTTTTATATTAATGACCTAGATGCATTTTATTGTAGCAATACTCAAACAATGCATCTGAAAGAAGTTAATTTCAACATGCTTGCTTGGAAGTTGAGACTTGAAGGACCTCCCTGCCATATATTTCAAAGGCAGAGACCAAAGAGAACATTCTCTTTTCCCTCCCTAGTACGAATATGAGACGATTCTATCTTAATGTAATTGTCCACCACCTATTACTTTCTCACACCTATAGTCCAAAGCAGCTAATAGTATCGTACCAACTTTAATTTCTTAACAAATAAGTTGGACACATGAGTGACAATCAAAAGGACTATCCTACAAGCACCAAGCAATGAAATCCAATAATCTAGTACAGAAGCCAATTAAGACAAGGGATATTGTAAGACTCTACAAGCAAAGAAGTATGAAAATATGGGGATCATCAGATATGAGTAAAAACTTACATTTAGAATAGAAGGTTCTGGCAATGGGCACTGGACGGGTTTATCATTGTCAAGAGGCTCAACTGGATGTTCAACAGGTTTAAATTCTACACCTACATCTATACCATGAGCAAGAGGCTGTGCAACCTCGGCCACCGTGTCCTCTGGAATCGGGGCTGAGACCTCCCTTGCATCCTGTGTCCATTCACATAAGAAAACGCGAAAATAAAATCACAATCAGCAATCAGCAGGCATCGAACTTACGACAATTAACTACAAGCAGCATGAACTTGAAGAGCAATACCAATAACAATGAAGCACACCAATCCTTGGCAAAAACACACCAAAAGCAGGTTCTAGACATGATTAAAGACAACCCAATAAAGATTTTGGACACAATTTCGGATACTATATGACTCAATGATCTTAAAGGACAATAAGATACATGACTAAACCTGGTTATATTTCTCCCGAAAACTCAAGACCACAGAAACCAAGCAAACTGACCAATTATGTCAACAATGAACCTTATAAAAACCCAGGTAAAAAAAGGATGAATATTGCCCAAAATCAAAAATTCTCAACTACCCAATTCACGCCTAGATCTAAGGAAGCCAATAAGAAAGTCAGATCAAAAAGGAAACATACAAAATCTGACCAAATCAACCACAATAAGAAAATCCCACAAAATCAACTTTAAATAGTCAAACAAAACAGTAAAAACAAAGAACAAAATCATCTAAACACAACAGTAAGATAGACAGTTCACCTATTCAAATCATATTAGGTTACTTACCACACAAAGTATTCATACAAAATTCACAATCAAATTAAACAAAAAAAGTTCCTAATTTTACAAAATCATGCAACCCCAGAAAACTAATTTAACTCACAATTGCGCTTTGCGTTCTTCGGTGCCCAGATTTGCTGCTAGAAAACTTAGAGAAAAAACCCACCATTTTTACAGTTTCTTGCTTCGAATTAAAGCTAATAACTCACATTAATAAGAACAAAGAATTCTTTGAAAAAATAATTAATGGTAGAGAAGAGAGAGAACGAAGGAAGAAGATGAAGTGAAAGGTAGGGGAGAGGTTACAAGAAGGACAGAATGAGTAAAGAAGAAGAGAGAGAAAAGAAGGACAGAAGAAAAGGAGAAAAAGGACAAAACCGAGGGTAATTCCAGAAGGACACTGTCCTACTGTTCATAAGGAACAGTACCGGTGGTCTTCTCATTTAAACACCATTAAACGAATGCACCAAGACCAGGGCCATGTTTATAGTTGAAACTACATAATTCTAGACTCAGCAAACAACCCTCCCTATAAAACACCAGCAGCCTTCCCTTTGATTAGTCAACTATGTAACATGCATCAGTATGACTTTATCCAGACACATTAGAGAATAAATAACAACGGTCAACAACATAGAACTTAAATTTATCTCATACTTCACAACAAAAGCAAGATTGATGGATTATAAGAATACTGATAAACTCTACATCTATTTTATACAATAAATCTTATACCTTGCAATAAATAAAATACTGTGAACAACTCCATGCAAGAAGAGCACAAAAGTTAAAGAACCTAACATCAACCATCTTAAAAAATTACATGCAAATAATACTTTCATGCATTTTCAGCACAATTTCATACACATAAATGACATAATAAACCAACAAAAAAAAAAAAAAAAAAAAAAATCAAAACTCCATAACATCTTCAAGGTTTATTTGGTGGGTGGGTTATAGGGAGACTCAGATCTGCATTTCATCGAACAATTTGGCGGCACATTCTTGAAGTGGGAAAACCTCAACCATGGAGACAACTCAACCGAATCCCACAAACCAAACGCCCCCTAATACTGCAATAATACTTTCATGCATTTTCAGCACAATTTCATACACATAAATGACATAATAAACCAACAAAAAAAAAGAAAAATTAAAACTCCATACCATCTTCAAGGTTTATTTGGTGGGTGGGTTATAGGGAGACTCAGATCTGCATTTCATCGAACAATTTGGCGGCACATTCTCGAAGTGGGAAAACCTCAACCATGGCAGCAACTCAACCGAATCCCACAAACCAAATGCCCCCTAATAAGAATTAGGGAATACAATTTCGTTTGCTGCCAAGCCAAATGATCAAAACGTATCCCAAATTCGTAAAACATTCCAAAACCAAACCATCGATTACTTTGAATTGACTCATCACAGCCTCATTAATTTGTATAATTGTTTATGTGTGTGTGTGTGTGTGTGTGTGTGTGTGTGTATATATATATATATATACGTAGTACGTAGCTCTTTTTGGGGGTTGATTATGGTATATGGTGAAAAACAGAACCAGAGATCAGAGATTCAGAGTAGCCAAAAAAAAAAAAAAAAAAGAAAAGGTGAGAGAAAGAGAGCAAAATTGTGGAAACTAAGCTCTTCGATTTCTCAGAGGGCCGTTTTAATGGTGGTCGGAGAAATCACCGGCTAAAGATGACCGCCGTTGACGGAGGTTATCACAGAAGAGGGGCAAAACGGTCCTCAGCAAACTCCCATTTAAAGTTTCTTTGAATTAAAGCTAATAACTCGCATTAATAAGAAAATCCTTGCTATAATTGAGTCTCTAATAAGTCCAACTTTGCCCCCACTAATTGCTTCTTTGTAATTGAAATTTGATTGCAGAACATAAAACCATAGGAAATAGCTTGGTAATTTTCATAGATTAAAATGATCATAAATATTATTGTATAAGAGGATGTCACATGCTCCTAATCTCTTTCTTTAAAATCCATTGAGATGTAAGAAAGGACTTATCTGTAATTATAAAAAATAAAAAAAAAATAAAAAGAAAGAAAGAAAGGACTTAATACAGAACCTTAGAGCTCAGTTTATTCCAAATAGACGAAAACAGAAAAGGTCTTTCAGTAAACAGTAGACCCAAGAAATCCAATTTTTCATTTTAAAAATCTCGGAACTCAACTCACAAATAAAAACCAATACAAACAACATGAAGCTTAATCGACTGATAACAAACAAAGAAATTTCGCCTAAACAAATGGCAGAAAAAATCAGCAAATTAATTTAAATTCAAAAACATATATTCAATTATTCATACCTGAATTCATAAGCACCATTAAAGTGCTTTTCAGAGCACCTCAAAAACAATCCCTCCTCCTCCGGCCCGTTGTCTATGCGATGATGGTTCTGAAGAATCCAAATTCTGAAACTATAATATCAACAATTGCTTCAATTGCAACTTTAATTATCATCAACATAAAAAATCAACCCAAAAAAAATAAATCACTCAAATTCAACACAAAAAAAAAAACCCAAAAAAACAAATAAACCCCAAAAAATTGCAAAATTGCAACCAAAAAAACAAAAAATAAATAAAACAAAGAATCCCCAAAAAAATCGAAAACCAATCGAACAAATAAACCCAAAAAATCGAACACAAATCGATCAAATAAACCCCATTAAAAACGAAACGATTTCGCACAAAAATACACCCACAAAGATTCAACCCAAAAAAATCGAAAACAACAGGAACATAAAACTGCTTCAACCAAAAGAAATTGAAAAAATAAATTTCAAATTAAACAAAACCCTGAAAGCCCAACTAAAAAAAATTAAGAGCGACCTCAAAAGCTGCTTCATAGGAGGAGGAGAGAGAGCTAAGAAGGCACTTCAATGGAGGATTCAGATCGCACTTCAATCGAGGGGAGAGATGGAGCGTACCGTCGAAGAGGAAAAAAGCAACTCAAACGTGAAGAAAATGAAGGACAGAAAGGAGAAAAAGGACAAAACCGAGGGTAATTCCGGAAGGACACTGTCCTACTGTTCATAAAAAAAACTGAAGTAACTGTAAAATAACTCCCACTTCCTTCCCCTACAAAACCCACTCTTCCCCCCACTTCCAGCCTTTTTCCACTCTTCTCTTCATACACCCCCTCTCTCTTTTTTTTCACCTTCCATGGATAACACTCCTCCTCCTCCACCACCACCCTTGCCACTACCGCCTCCGACACCGATACCGATACCTCTTTCATTGTCTCCTCCTACTCCAACTTCCTACGTCCACAATCACAAAGATTTACTCTTACCTTTTCCTCCTCCCACCACACCGATCTCCTCCTCCCCAACCGCCTCCTTACGTAAGAAACGCCACTCTAAACTCCTCCGCATTGACACTTCCACCAGCACAACACCGGCCAACAAAAAACCTGAGATCACACCACCATGCACGGAGTGTGGGAAAACCTTTTGGTCCTGGAAGGCTCTTTTCGGTCATATGCGATGCCACCCCGAACGTGAGTGGCGTGGCATTAACCCTCCGCCTCATCTTCGACGTCGTTCTCTTCCTCCCACTCCTACTACAACCACTGATGACCATGAGGTCGCTGCTAGCCTTCTCTTACTCGCTGCTGGTCCTGTCTCCCCTGACGTGGCATTAGCCTCTCCGCCCAGGTTTGAGTGCTCGAGTTGTAAGAAGACATTTGGGTCTCACCAAGCGCTCGGCGGTCACCGTGCTAGCCATAAGAATGTCAAGGGATGCTTTGCCATTACCAAGAGTGCAACTGACGTTGAGGATGATCAATGTATGATCATGCAAAGTGGTTCAAGTCATGAGGAGGCAATTGGGCTGGGCCTTTCTTTGGGCTTGGGCCTTGGAGTGGGCCACAAGTGTGGTGTTTGTTTGAAGGTGTTTCCTACTGGACAGGCCTTGGGTGGGCACATGAGGTCCCACTGGGAGAAGAGTGAGGAGCCGGCATTGCGATCGTTGTTTGGGCTTCCACTTGGGTCAGATTCAAGGCCCAATAAGGCCCAATGTGGTGTTGATCTTAACCTACCGCCCCAACTTCTAGAGGATGGTTCTTCTTCTACTACTATTGATTCTTCCAATAACATGCAATTAGAGCTGAAGTTAGGAATATAAGGTATACAATTGGTTAGGTTATTTAAAATTGTTGTAATACTAATTAATTGATGATTTATCACATATTTAAGTGTTAAAGACTAACTATTTATAGTGTGTGGTGTGGGTTTCATGAAAACATATGTATGCTCATTGTTTTAGGTGTGGGTTCATGTAATATCTCATTTAACACAACGCTTCATTCATCATAATATTATTACTTACTCTTATTACTACTCGTATAATTGTAACCTTTCTCTGTTATAAGGTTGCTGTTTCCTATGGCGAATACTATACTATTCCCATGTCTAGAAACATATGTCACATTTTTAGCTGTAAGTGTATATCTAAACTAGTAAGGTGATGGTTAAATATAAGCGGAGATAGTATTGATTTTGATGTATTTTTTCTTAGTTACGATCATTAGTTTGGAATTCATGGATGATCAATACAATGAGCCCATGGACCTAAGGCCCATATAGCTTACCTGACCTAATCCATTTAGACTAAACACTTTTTTTTTTTTTTTTGACAACATTTAGACTAAACACTTATATAGCCTATAATCCAAAAAAATGTCCTTTTTTAAGGTATTGTCTATGCAAAGTGTATTAATTAATTAATTGTAATAAAGTTAAAGTAATGCTTTGCATACCTCAGTAGGTATGTATTTGTTTAAGTTTGATTTTCTTTTTAATTATTCCTTAAAGCATGAGCAAGTGACCATTATAATTATTGCACTCCGTATAATTTATGAACTATGATATTGTGTCAAAAAAAAAAAAAAAAAAAAACTATTAGTTGGTGAGTTCCTAAATTTAGAAATATTATTAGTTTGAAAGTTACAGATCCAGTAATCTGGACCACTTCACCAACTCGTACTTCATATTTTTGTCATAATTTCTCATCATCAAGCTAGTAGGGAACATTTATATATAATGTTCAGGATTTATTTTTTTATTTTTTTTTTTAAGACTTTAATACAATCATTAGTAATATCTATATGAGGTGATTGGATTATAGAGAAACACAAGTTTAAATGGTCCCTATGGACAAAAAATTTCATATATTTACGACTAGTATATTATATTGACCTTTACGGAGTAATTAAGGCTTAACGATAGCTAGTTCGAAAAGGACATTTAACTAAACAGTTGGATCAATTTGACATGAAACCGCATGAAATTAGATGATTCTCATCGAACTTTAAGATGCTTTAACATGACTCAAGTCATTATAAACCACATCGGCCTACCAACAAAAGGAATTTTGTAGGGAAGTTTTATTCATCAATCATTGTTTCAGGCTCCTGAGTTCCACCACGAGAATGTGTTGCTAAAGGTGGTGTTGTCTCATTATCACCTGTAAGTTTGTATCGTCTAACAACTAATATGTAGTGTAATAATCTTCATTATCATTTCTTTAAATTAGTCCTCAAACTTAGAAAATGTTCAAGAGCTTGAATGTAAGACCCATATACTGTACGCAGTATTATCTAATGCAATGGTCCTTCGTTTTCATGTCCTGCTTTGCTTCCATTTTTATCTCATTTACTTGTTTGCTTTCCCGTTTTTTGCTTCTTGGCTTAAATCTGTGTTTCAATGGAAGGAAAATCATTTTCCAAAAACGGCTTTCTTATTTTACGATTGGTTTGTAATAGAAGAAAATAAAAATAATGTCTTATATCCTCCTATTCCCCACCTTTGTCTCCTCTCTTCACCATTTCTCTCGAACTCTTCTAGACCTACCAAAATTTAAAATAATAATGGCTCCTTTGAAATTAGATTTACGTCAAAATAATTGCTACAGTAATAGTTTAGAATATGATCAAACAAGTTCATCAACTTTACAAGTCAATTAACAAATGAAATCATGAAGAAGTCTTATTTTTTTTAAAGAAAAAGTTTGTAGTTCAAAAAACATGTAAATATTTTTATAAAAGAATGGAAAACATTTTTGAAAATTAAACATGTTACTTACTTTTTTTTTAACTAGTTGTGGTCCCGCGCGGTGATTATTATTAGTAAGTAATGTATCCGGTGGTTCTGTTACACGGTAATTATGTTTGCGTAGTGTGTGCATGTCGTAAGAATTTAAAGTAATAAAGGCAATCTAAGAGGGAAATGTTGCATTCTAAGTTATTATATGAGAAATCTTTCTTAATTAAGTAGTCTATCTCTCTCTTTCCTAAGTGATATTTCTCTCTTTTTGAATGATCGATCTTTCTTAAATGGCCTCTCTCTCTCTCTCCCACTCTCTCTATAGCTTTTAGTAACTCTTTCTCCTAAGCTAATTTCTCTTATTTTCTTAAGTGGTCCATCTCAAATGATCTATGTTTCTTAAGTAGTTTATATTAAAGTTATCAAAATCAAGATTCCACTTTGAATTGGAAGGGATTTAGATGTGTATGTGTTACTAATGATAGTAGTTGTTTCAGAAGTTTTCTTATAAGTTTTTATTTCTTACATGAGAAGGTTTTTCTTGTTTTAGGCTTAAAATATTTTAATTATGCAATTTTATTTTGACAATAATTATTTTTACGATATAGGAGAATCGAGTGAGATGATTTTTAAGTGGTTGATAATTTTATTTGGTATGTATACATGTATGGATTTTTTAATATTCGCATAGTATCTTAATAGGTATTTTATATACTTTGAAAATTAAAGTGTCATCATTATAAGAAGATTATGATTCTTAGATTGTTTGATAAATTCTATTTAATGACATGTTTACAAGCATGATAATAAATGATAATTTAATTATGAGATGATATATTTATGAAACATGATTATTATTGATTTCTCACTCATAATTATAGATTGAAACAAGTAAGTCAATTTAATACTCTTTCATAGAATGAGATGAATCAAAGAAGGATTTCAATGTAGAAGTATAATTATGCACATTTTGTGTGTGTCATAACCATGTAATAAATTGATTAATCACGAAATAAATTATCACATATAACTATTTAAAAATATAATATTCTAACTAATAAATCACAAAAGAAATTCAAAAGAGGTGTGTGAATAGTGAAAAAGTATAAATAATGCAATTAAAATAATTGATGAAATCTAATATATATAAATAAAGTAGGCATTTTTCAAGAGCATTCGGAGCGCCACATAAGCAAAGGTATATTTTCGACCAATTAATAATTAGATTTCTATTTTATTTTGGAATTAAAAAATTCATTTGCCACCTAAACAAAATTGGCGAATGAGATTTAAGAATTTTTCCACGTAAGTAAAAACAACGAATATTGATTTATTAGGATTAAATTTATTTAAAAAACTAGAAATTATCTTTTAAAATAATCATCTTTAGATATAGGATTTATATATGTACTATTATAAGATAAATTTTGATAGTGTTTATGATAAGAAATAAAAAATATTCCTTGATTATAATTAAATTAAAATTTGTGACATTTAGATGAACAAATTCCAATACATAAATTTAATTTTGTATAATTACAATTTTTAGATTAATTTCACAACAATTATTGACTTTCTGGTAAATATTTTAATTTATTTTATAAGACTATAAAGATTAATTTTATATAAATTTTATTTTTGCTAACATATTCTATTTATCCACTTTTATTAGATGGAAGAGATATCGATGTGAACTAAGTTGGTGATCCTATCGAATTTTTTTTTTAATACAAATTTTTTTTACATCGAAATATTACATCTAATAACTTTATTTTTAATGTAAAAAATATTATGAGTATAATCTAATTACAAAAATTATGTTTATGAGATTTTATGTATAAAAAACCGTAGGATATTAGGATTTAAATTATTAAAAAAATAAAAATTATCTTATGAAATTAATGGTTTTATCTAAATACCCGATTTATAAGATGTTTTTTCATAAAAAAAATTTAAAACTTTTAACCCAATAAAAAACTTTACCTTTTGTAAAAATTTTATGTCTACAAATTTTAAAAGACAGATCATTTGTTTGAGATCAAGAGATCACAAGAAATATACATAATGATATATAGATTTGAGAGTTTAATTTCAAGTGTAAAAAGTAACGAATAATGATTTAGGATTTAAATTATCTTAAAAATAAAAAATTATTATCTTTTCACATTAATGATTTTATCCTAATATGTAATCAATGAAATATCATATTTACAATTTTATTTTTTTTTGAAAGATATCATATTATTGTCATATAACTAAGAACAACGAAAAAAATACAAAACAACAATAAATGAAGTCGCGATATAAATTACATTAAAAAAATTATACTTTTGTAATTGACAATATCATTTTAATTAAATTATTATTTGTTTTTATTTTTTTGTCTGAAATTATTAAATTGAAAAATAAGTCATATATATATATATATGATTAAAAAAAAAAACTTAGAGTATATAAGAAATATCTTTTCTTGAGATATATGTATGAAAATCTGTGTATCGCACAGGCTTTCATCTAATTATTTTACATATTATTTAAATATATTCTATTTAAATAAAAAATATTATGAGTATCAATATTTTCTTTCTCATATTTACAATTTATTTATATTTACAATTTATTTATATTTAATAAATTCATATTTACAATTTAATAATATTTATATTTAAATATTATGAATTCAGTAAAAACAAATTAGATAAAAAATATCATATTTACAATTTATTTATATTTAATAAATTCATTATAAATTATAGTAAAAAAAAAAATATTAAACTTTTGTAATTTTGTCTGAAATTATTAAATACAATAAAGCAAATAATTAAAAATCTTAGATGAAAAAACCGTGCGTTGCACGGGCTTTCATCTAGTAATTAACAAATTACGTAAAATTATTTATTAATTAACAAATAACGTAAATATTTATAATTATAAAAACAAATGATTTATTCAACAAAATTATTATCATTTTGCCCCGGGCCACTAGAATATTAGAAACGGCTATGCACCTAACTCTTCGAAAAAAACTGTAAAATGGATAGAGGCAAATAACCGTCATCTCACACTTCCTTCCCCTACAAAACCCACTCTTCCCCCCCCCCCACTTCCAACCTTTTTCAACTCTTCTCTTCATACACCCCCTCTCTTTCTTCTTTTTTTTTTTTTTACCATCAAACTTCCTTTTTTTTTTTTTTTTTTTTTTTTTTTTCTGTTTTTTACCGACAACTTTTCACTCCCTATTTTCCTTCCATGGATAACACTCCTCTTCATTATCACCTGTAAGTTTGTATTGTCTAACAACTAATATGTAGTGTAATAATTTTCATTATCATTTCTTTAAATTAGTA